TTTTCTTTTCCCCCCTCTCCCCCCCCCCCCCTTACCTGTTCACCGCCGCCTGTCCCCAAAGCGATCCTCCATTCTGAACTCCCTGATTGTGGGGAAGGAGATTGACCGTCTGCGGTCAATCAACCTGTTGGGCAGAGGAGGGGCGTGGTATGCCACAGGGCTGTGTGTGTGTGGGTCTATGGACGCACACAACTACTGCGGGCACGGCTGGGAAGCCGCACGCACGGGTGCCTCCAAAGCTGCCGCTCAGCTGATGGAGGCACCCATGCAGGGTGCAGGGGGAGAGCACTGCAGGAACTCACTAGAGAATGAAAAATTGAAAAAAATAAAAGCAAAAAAAACACAGGATCTGCATCCCACACAGGTGCTCCTCCTGTGTACATATAAAAAAAAGTAAAGGTTTAATGCCACTTTAAGCTCCTGTGGCCAAAAGCACACCCAAATCTGCTGGTTTATAGGACAGACACAGCCTAATAGCATATATTAATTTAACTAGAACAATTAAAGAAACCTGCCAGGATGGCTGTTACCTAAAACAACCAAGAATCCCACTGCTCAACTCCCAAAAGGAGTACTAGTTTTGGGGCAAGTACATGACTGTGTGTGGGGCCGCACAGGTGTCTGTTGCCCCAGATAATCTACATTTGTTATTACATCCTACATAGGTGGAATATTCTATTGCCTCCTGTAGAATCATTGCAAGCTACAGTGAATTAGGTTTATGTTGTGTGTTTTCCAGTAATTTTAGTGAGAGATCGCTGAGTAATCCTTTGCGCTGTGCTTTTTATAATGCTGGCTTGAATGGACTTCACTATTTGTAAACACTGCTGGTCTCACTGGGGCTCCTGAATGGCTGAGAGAAAAGGCATCTGATTGGTGGCTTTTCTATTCTTTAGTGTGTGTGTTAACTAGGGTTGCACAGATACCAAGTACAGTACTCAGTACAAGTACCGATACTTTTGAGCTCCAAGACTACACTAGAGAAAAATTCAAAAGTTAGGAGGCAGCTGTCATTTGTAAGGAGCACACGGAGCTCCCGGGATTTGTACATCTCTGTTTTAATGTACGATTTTATTTTTATAAATATAAATAATGGGATGCACAGATACCAGTTTTGCGAGTACGAGTACTGGTACTTGCCGAGTACTTACAAGTACGAGTACTGATACATTTTTGTTTATTGTCATGTGACAGTTTTTCTAAAACAATACAGACTAATGATTTCAGGACAGTGGTGGAGCGCCAGAGCCAGGTCCCAGCTGCAACCCTGGTAGTTCTCATGAAAATGGCAAATATCGGCGCTGTTACTCGAAAAGTATCTGTGCATCCCTAGTGTTAACTCACTATTGGTGGCTCTGTTGAAGGGGGCATGCCCCGCAAATACATCAGCCACCAACAGAGATGACTGGCTGTGAGGTGGCACAGCAGTTGGCAGATCGGCAGTGTCTCTGTGAGATTTCTATAATAGGGGTCGTACACTTCCCACACTTCTCGTTGTAGGATATCGATGAGCACTACACTACTATACCTTTGTGAGTATGTTTTTATTGCTTATGATTAAACGCATGGTTTGGGCGCTTTGTGCCTCTGTTTTCCTAGAACTAGCACCAGATTCAGGAGTTGGACACTGGCAGCTTTTGGTGTTCAGTGGGAACCTTGGCTGAAATAGGTGTCAGTCCTAGTGGTTCCATTTCAATAAACTGCAAAGCACTGTAGGAACAGGAGGAAAAGGGAGAATCTAAAGCAATACTTTTATGTTAAAGTAAATAAGAAACGATTTTTAGCATTAGTCTTAGCCAGGGGTGGGCACACTCTGGCCCTCCAGGTTTTGTGGAACTACAAATCCCATATGGTATTGCAATATTCTTACAGCCACAGGCATGACTCTCAGAGACAGATGCATGATGGAATTTGTAGTTTCACCAAAGCTGGAGGGCCAGAGTTTGCTTGAGTTTTTCTGGTCTTAGCTGTAAAATTATTCTTACCTGTGTCAGACCAGAAGCCTTAAGCAGCTCCTGTGGTGATCGGGACCCATATAGATTTGGAAGACGTAATGAAAGAATGCGGCTGTATACCTTATTTCTGACCTGAATGACAAAAAAAAAAAATAGGTGATCTTAACAGCTCCCAATAAAAGGGGCAGAGCTCTTACATATATGCGCTCACACAAGAATGTAAAAATCTCAATGAAAAGACTAAATAACTCACCTCTTTTTTGAAATTTAAGAAGTAATTAGTTTGGTCAATAAGAAATATTTCCAAGGCCGATCTCCTTAAGTTGTACCGACGCAGGTGAATCTCTCTGATCTGAGAAAGGAGCCACTTGAAATCATAACCAACACCTACCAGCAGAAGTAATGGAAACAAATTAGTTCAAGCACAGACCTGCTACACAGCAATAAGTGTTTACCATTCAAGCAGAGCAAGATCAAATACAAAAAAGTGTAACTCCCCTATGAGCTTTTGTTAGCTTCAGAACTGCTTTTCTCTTTATTCAAGATGTTTTTAGGAACACAAAAGCAGCTTGAAGCAGCTTAGAAAGAGCTCAGCTGCATCTCAGATCCAGCTGTGGAACTCAGAAGCATCTCAAACTGATCACAAATGCAAGCTACATGCACCTGAAATCGTGCTACATATGGCCCTTATATTTTTGGAGAAGGACATGATGTAATCCAGAATCTCTCTTAAAAAGGATTTAACACAATTACAGACTCTTCATATAACATGTGCAGCATTGACGTATGTACAGTTATATGGTCATATCAAATAAACTCAATCAATGGTACGCACCTTCTTCTTTTTCCGTGCTGCTATCATAGAAATATATATGTTGAGTTGTGACCTCTAATCGACCAGAAATCACCTCCATTATAGTGATGAGTTCACACTCCTCAGACAGCACTGTTTTCTCCTTTTGACTCTGCTCTTCTTTCTCACTTCTAAATGAAAAAGTATCTCATGTCAGTACATCTCCATATACATTCAGAATAAAAAGCGTTACACTGGACAGATCACATCTTTGTTAATTCTCTCCACTTATTAATCTCCAACAGAAGCTAACTGAGGAGGACGCACGATTGTCTGTGATCTCTATGATTCTGGCTATAGCTTTTGATCCCAGAAAAGCATTTACACTACAAAAGCATTCTGCTGCTAGAGTTATGGTGACAGGGATTTCATTTCAGAGGACTGTCAAACACCCTGAGAAATTAAGCCTTTGATTGCAAACAGAAGTAAAAGTTTACACAAAATAACAAAAGGAACATGAGTGCGCATGCAGCATGTGAATTATACAAATGAACTACGAAAACATACACTGTAACCGTGTTCTCTTCCTCAGAAAGCTCAAGTCCATCATCTTCGAAGTCACTAACTTTCACCTGCTTTACAGCTTCCAGCAATAGTGACTCGCTTGTTGTTTCAGCTTGCTGAATGCCTGTATAATATGAATAACTACATATGAGTACACATTTACCATTCAGACTACTCTAGGCACATGCACATGATGGCACCCCTTTCCATCTCTGACAATATTAGACAAGCACTTCAGAGAAAATGAAAACCATTGTGGAGATGTTGGTTTTATGCAGTAAGTCTAACTATAATTGGTCTGTGCGGTCCACCAATGAAAAGTCTACGAAGAAAAGGAAGCCAAATGATTGTAAGTTGGGAACTTGTGACTCTTCTCAGTAAGTCTATGTACCTACAGTTGTTAAGAGGTGTTTAGACAAGGAAAAAAATAGGATTTTTGTACTCACCGTAAAATCCTTTTCTCTTCGTTCATTGAAGGACACAGGCAACAGATCGTAGATCCTGAATGGTAGGGTAATATCGCCACCTGCAGGAGAAGGACGCTAGGCACAAAACTAAAGACCAATTACAGCCTAGGGGCGGCCCCTGCCGGTGGCCAAACCCCCCACCTGCTGACAAGTCTCCAGTTTAGTAACAAGCAGTTAGGAGTGTACACCCCATAAAGAGGGCGGGGCCTGTGTCCTTCAATGAACGGAGAGAAAAGGATTTTACGGTGAGTACAAAAATCCTATTTTCTCTCCCGTTCATTGAAGGACACAGGCAACAGATCGTAGATCCTGAATGGTAGGGACGTCACCAAGCAGTAACACACTGAGGGATGGGCAACAAAGAAGGTGCAGGAGCTCGTCCCGAGGGAAAAAAAACCCGGGTCGCGACAGTGTCCAGAACAAGTCCCAGATACTCCAGGCGTGGAAAAGACACCAGGCAAGACTTCCGGAGGTTCAGGAGCCAACCGAACTCCTCCAAGGACTGTTCCGGGACCTCCAGAGCCACCACCAGAGAGGAGTGCGACTCCGCCCGCAGAAGCAGATCGTCCAGGTAGCCCACGATCGAAACCCCCTGACAACGCAACAGCGCCAGAATCAGGGCAAGCACCTCAGTGAACACCCGCGGAGCAGGCGCCAGCCCGAAAGGCAGCGCCACCAAATGAATATGCCACCGCGAAACGGACATATCTCTGATGAGACGCGTAAAAAGGGTACATGAGGGTAGGCATCCTTGATGTTGATGGATGCCAGCAGGCCTACCCGACGAAGTCAGACCACCACGGATCTTATCGACGCCAACCGGAACCGATGGAGCCGCATAAAGGCGTTCAAGCGGTTGAGGTCCAGGAAGGGCCAAACCCCCTCCATCTTGGGCACGGTAAACAGGTTCGAATAAAACCCTTTGAACCTTTCCAAGGACGGAACCGGCACGATCACCCCCTGGGAGCAAAGGGTCCTCCACAGCTCGACGGAGATCCGCCAACCGCGAAGGAGAATCGCGTGTTGGGCCGGAAGAACCGGTCCCTGGACGGGACAGAAATTTCATCTTGTAGCCTGAAGAAACCAGCCCCCGCACCCAAGTGTGGGAGACGTGGGCCAACCAAGTGTGGGAGACGTGGGCTCTGGTTCACGTGGGTGAACCAGAGCCAGACTTGGGCTGCCATGGGCGCTCGGAGCATTGTGAAGGGGAGGGCTTGTGACCCTTCCCGCCCTCGTTGGAGGACGCTGAAAAACCCCGCTGGTGTGCGGAGAAAAAGGCCCCAGGCTTGCGGCGCTGCTCCTTCGTGACAAAAAACGTCCTCCAGCCATGGACCCGACAGCCTTGATCAGCTGCAGCAGCAGACCTGTGTCCCCTTGAAAATCGCCATCACGGCGAAATAGGACCGCCCCATCCACCCGCGGACCGGAAGTGAGGTCACACAGAAAGGGCAAGCCGCCCTCAACCAAGATGGCGGCTGTGGCATCCGGACTAGGCCGCAACTGGAGCCAGGACCTCGATTTTCGGCCGCCGGCGCACGAGGGGCCGAAATCAGAACGAACATATAAGCTCCTTACTCCTGACGCTAGGAAAAAAACTGGAGACTTGTCAGCAGGTGGGGGGTTTGGCCACCGGCAGGGGCCGCCCCTAGGCTGTAATTGGTCTTTAGTTTTGTGCCTAGCGTCCTTCTCCTGCAGGTGGCGATATTACCCTACCATTCAGGATCTACGATCTGTTGCCTGTGTCCTTCAATGAACGGGAGAGAAATAAGGAAAACAGTAAACACAAATGGAATATGGAATATCCTGTACATCATGGTAAATGCAGTCCTATATAACAACCTGACAATGCTAATTAATTATAATTAATACTAATAGATGAACACCCTCCACTCTCTTTATATGTTTACAGGGAGTTCCGCACATGGAATTCTACAGAAATACCCATCAAAACTACTGCACAATCTCTTTTAATGACTTCCTGCTCACCAAGTGCATTTTAAATTAGTTAGTAAATTAACAAAACACACTAACCTATTATTGTAAACTTACCCAGGTTATCACGCAAATTACTTGCTTCAGAATGGGGATCGAAATTGTTGTTTTGAACCAGTTTGAGCCTCATTCGTGAGTAATTCTCAACATTGGAAAGTTTCCAATGTTCCCCATTATCTTTCCTGTAAACAGACAATGTAACACTAAATAACAATAATGAGCCGGAATTAAATACATAAATCAGTACTTTAAAATATGCTAAATATAAAAGATGTTTCTTATTTTAGATGTTGTACATATCTTTAATCCTTTTTAAGTACATATGGGGGTAGGTGGATACAGAGACGACAGATTTAGAGGTGTAATCCCTTAAATTAAGGGCACTAACTGTGAAAAAATGAGATCTGAACTGTTCCTCTTCCATGCCCTCCAGCTCCAAACATATTCCTGGACCCAGTGAAAAGATACATCTGTGAAGACCACCTATGCAGGAGGGCAGGGACAAAGGGGTCATCGAGATAAGGTAAATGGTTTAACCCCTTCGTGACTGACGACGTACAGTGTACGTCGCCAGCATCGGGGCTGTTTAAACAGACTCCCGATTTCCACCTTTGTAAGTGATTAGCATTTATTGTGGAATTTAGAGGTACAGTGATGATGTATACATATGTATAAATATTTTATATATAAATATGAAATACTGTATATCAATATTTTTTGTTTAACCACATGCCGTCCACCCGTTGTGAAAAAAAGCACGGACGGCAAACTCACATGGGTGAGTAAAAAAATAAAATATAAGTCACATATAAAAAAAGTAAAAAAACCAAAACAAAAATGTTTAAGTCCCCCACCTCCACGTTTACGCACATATAAACTTAAATACGCGTCAGTTGTGCCAGCGAAAACAACAATTGCGCTACACGTTACATATCACCGCGAACGTCCGAGTGAGAGCAATAATTTTCAATCACTGGTAACACTAAACTGATGAGTGGTAAAAGCTTTTAAAACGTTGCCTATGGCCACTTTTGGGTATTGTAGTTTTTTGAGGTTTTGCACGCGGGCACAATTTTAAGGTTTGACATGTTTGGTGTCTTTTTACCCAACGTGCCCACGCCTTTTATATTTTAACAAAAAATATGGTAATAAAAGTTTTATAACTTAATATAGGGGAAACTGTTTTTTTTTAAAGTTTTCTGTAATTTTTCCCTTAATATGGTAAAAAATAAAAACCCCAGTGGTGATTAAATACCACCAAACGAAAGCTCGATCTGTCCCTAAAAAAATGGTATACAATTAATTTCAGTACAGCGTTGCATGACGGAATAAATGTCAGTCAAAGTACCGCAGCACTGAATACTGAAAAATGGCCTGGATGGGAAGGGGGTTTAACACCTTGGACTTCAAGTGGTTAAACAGAAGGCGAGTAGAATTGTGGGAGTCAGCAAATGATGCTGTATAAGCATTAACTTAGTTTACAGCAGGAAGGCAGAATACAGAATATCTCCTCAAAATGAATCTTTATTTCATACTGTAAAGTCCATAGAAGCAACACCCACTTGCATGTTTCAGCCCTCCTGGGTATTGGTCAGCATGAGTGTATACAGATTATCATTTGTGATTGCGTGTACCCGGTAAAGATTGTAGGGGTAATTACAAGCCACCATTTCCCAAACCGGTTCACTGGCTTATCCTAACAGAATCACATATTCATTCATCATTAGAGTGCTTCATAGAGACTGGTGTACACAGCTATTCATCCATTTGGAAGTGCAGGAAACATGATCTCTAGTCCTGGAGGACCAGAGCTGGGAAACATAAATAAATGGCACAAAACTGACCTTTCTGACCAGGGGCCACGTTCACAAGTGAAGTATCTTTGAGCAGCTTTCCACTGTCTTAAAGTCGCTGTGCACTGGCTGTTGATTTGTTTCAACATACTGTTGTAGCGCAAGTTCTCCTGCCGGGCCTTCCTATTAAATGGCTCCAGGAAAAACCCCTGAGTAATAAAAAAGCAGGGTTAACGCATTCGTACAGACCCTCACTGTGATGGTTAAATATAAACTTGTAAAACAAAAAGCATTCTTTACACATTCAAAAATGTTTGTTTGACAGATTAATGCACTTTAACAGTATACATGTAATTCCTGGTTTTGACTGCACAGATATGACCACTAAGAGCTCGTACACACTACTACACCCGTACACAAACTGTACATTCAAGTTCCCACAGAGCAGCACGGTGTACTGCGCCATGGTGTGGTCCAGTGCGCTACAAAAAATGCAGCATATTGCCATTTTTTACATCACACCCACGTTGTGGTGAGAATGGGGCATACAGAAAACAATTGTTGTCCATGTGCCCTAGGGGTGACCAGCACTGTTCAGTTGCTGAAAAATGCCAGTCACCACATATTGTGTGAACGAGCTCACCGCACAAAATAATCGTTCAACTAATTCAATTCAGAAGAATCCAGCAGAACAATATCAGGAATGGATGGCACTGACCCGTTGATTATTAGACCTCGAGCATGGAAAATGCAGCAGAGAAAGAAACTAGATGTCTATTTTGCAGTAATGTCCAAGGAACTTTAGCTACACCATCATAGAAAAGTTTTACTAGTTCTGCTACAAGAAATGTTTTAGAGCTAGAAAGAAAATGAGGAATACAAAGTTACTGGTTTAAAGCTACCTGAAATTTGAGCTTGCTTTCACCACGCTCTCTTTCCCGCCTGTGGATATTCACCATGAGCGCCTCATGACATTCCTTCCAGTACAGTGCCATCTGCTCATGACTTTTGCTGAATGTATCCACTTCATACTGTTTCATGTATGGTATAATCTATTCAGAGAAGACACAATACACTTGGGAATAAAGAAGACTTCTGGAATATACGTTTAGCCTACAGAAAGAGGCTTATCACAACCTGTTCTCTGTCATAGACAGCGTGTCTGTGCCTGTTCTCTGTCACACATAGCATGTTTGGACCTGTTCTCGGTCACACACAGCATGTTTGGACCTGTTCTCTGTCACACTTAGTCTGTCTGTGCCTGTTCTCAGTCATACATAGCGTGTCTCTACCTGTTCTCTGTCATATATAGTGTGCCTGTACCGGTTCTCTGTCATAGACAGCGCGTCTGTTCCTGTTCTCTCTCACACACAGCATGTTTGGACCTGTTCCCTGTCACACTTAGTCTGTCTGTGCCTGTTCTCTGTCATACATAGCGTGTCTCTACCTGTTCTCTGTCATACATAGTGTGTCTGATCTCTGTCATACATAGTGTGTCTGTGCCTGTTCTCTGTCATACACAGCGTGTCTGATCTCTGTCATACATAGTGTGTTGGTACCTGTTCTCTGTCATACATAGTGTGTCTGTTCTCTGTCATACATAGTGTGCCTGTTCTCTGTCATACATAGTGTGCCTGTTCTCTGTCATACATAGTGTGCCTGTGCCTGTTTTCTGTCATACATAGTATGTCTGTACCTGTTCTCTGTCATACAAAGTGTGTCTGTGCCTGTTCTCTGTCATACATAGTGTGTCTGTGCCTGTTCTCTGTCATACATAGTGTGTCTGTGCCTGTTCTCTGTCATACATAGTGTGTCTGTGCCTGTTCTCTGTCATACATACAGTGTCTGTACCTGTTCTCTATCATACATAGTACCCATTCTCTGTCATTCACAGCACATGTATACAGGTTGTATGTCACATACACACACACCTCCTCATACACAGTGCCCCATACAGCATGCCTACACATTCTGCACTACAAACATTCTAGTAAGAAAATCTATGACAATAGTAATACTTACATATTTATCTATAAAGATCCTCCATTCTTCAGAACTGCAATATTCCTGGAAGTCTTCGAATAAGGAAGGACTGCCATTAGTAATTGGAAGGGATGGTAGATGGAGATTCATGAAAAGCAAGTCATAGATTTTAGACACCAAAGTTCTCACAATGGGAACAAGGAATGAATACGTTTCTGATTTCTCTCGGATGGATTTGCTGAGGATTCCCTCCAACTTCCCCAGCAGAAAACAAGCTTCTTCTTGGTTCTCAATCACTTTGGTCTGCAGTAAGGTGTTCAGCTTTGCTGTGGCCATAGCACATACCTATGCAAGAACATTAACACTTTGAGAAATATGCATTAGCTGTGCTATTCCCCACCCACAGACCCACTGAGCCAACTGTAGTGTTTGAGATAGCTACTTCAATTACAGAGTTATGTTATTTACAGGGCAAAAGAAAACTGAATAAAGGGTGCACATTGACCAAGGGTAAGGAGGATATTCTACCTACCAAAGGTTCCTGTAACTTCTTAATTTCTAGGATTCCCATCTAATAAGGTATGTGAAAAATAGTTTAGCTCAACCAACCTGCAAATTATCCTGGGCAATGAAGCCAAGCAGAAGACGGAATTCTACTTGAGATAGGGTCTCTGATTCAAGTCCAGCTGGGTACCACACTGACAGACTATCCATGAGAGTCACTATCTCTTCCAACAGCTGTAGAAAACAACAAATGGACACAAACAGGTCACTTTTTCTGAAACAAAAGAAATCATTCACCTATTTAAACCAAATAAATTGAAAAATTCTGAACGACAAACCTTTTCTGTCCATAACGAGAGGTTTACACAGCCCTCTGACTGCAGGAAGTCTTGTACAATATGCAACAATCTGTTAGCATTTTCAGCGTGAATTTGTGATTTGGGGTCTCTGTTCTCGGTTACAGCCCATTCAGGCATCCTCTCCAGTAAACTGTGCATAAAGGTAGGAAACAAATACCAAACAGGTTACATAGGGACAATCACACTAAACTTCGGAATTATACAGCCTACTGTTATAGGAATTATTTAACAAGCAAAACCCCTGTGTGATAAGGTTCTGATGGAAGGAACCATTTCTGGATTCACACACCACATACTAGATCTCGAACAGAGAAATCATTCATTGTGATGCTAAACAGGTTGAGTTTCTTTGCTTTAGAGGTATTCTGTAGTAAGTGCTGGAAAATGGCTTTTCCCATCAGAGAATTTGCACACAGAGAGCGATGCCAGGCAGAAGGATGCCAGGCAGAAGGTTGCCAACAGGCAGCTAGCATTTTCCCTATACTCTAGATCCTTGGTTCTCAACTGGCGGGTCGTGACCCAAAAGTGGGTCGCGAGCCCGTGTTCAGTGGGTCGCCGCATGCCTTCCACTTTTCTAGGCGAGAGGCTCCTCTGCCTCCCCCAGCGCAGCAATGTCAGTTCTCGTGGCAAGCAGCGATTCAAAATATGCTGCCTGGCGCAGAATCCCAGCTTGAGATGTGACTGGGGGTATGGCCAAGAGGGAGCTCCATCCATACGTGCATTGCTTACAGCTCCCTCATTGTCTGATAGGGGTGCCTGGACCAGTGGCATCACATTCTGGCTCCTGGCACCTCTACAGGGCACATATGGGAGCTGTACAAGCAATGCACATATGGACGGAGTTCCGTCACAGCAAAGCAGCCCACACTGGACCCCGGGCTGAGGATCCACTCCAGTTCTTGTAAGGTAAGGAGACTTGGTGGACCTTAAAAAAAAAGGGCTTGTTCACTCTAGTACAGTGCGTAAATTGCATAGTATTATGTCATTAATGCGCTGTACCACCCAGTTGCACCTACTGGTGTGGGAGGTGTGTTGCGTTGCCATTTATTTGAATGGTACCCCAAATGCACCTCCCACCCACAGTTTGTACGCCCGCACCAGAACACGTGGTACCCTAATGCTGTGCGTTCCATTGCAGTGCAGACATTGCAGACTTGGTTCACGACTTAATGACCAAGGATCCTGAGTGAGTCCTGAGGTTACACAGGTTGAGAACCACTGCTCTAGATCTCCCCCCTTTCAGTTTAACCAATATGCTGTTTTTATCACGCATTGCACATAAGTCATATTTCCAACACACAAAACAAATCCTCTGTGCCTCTTATGCAATTTGCAGCTGGAGCTTTGCTAAATCTCAGGTCCAACTCTCAATAAATTTGGAAATAATGTGGGCAATGTACTTAAGCTTGATTTCATCTGAAGGTCGTAATAGTTCATTAGACGTCCCAAGGTTCGTGAGCGCTGCGAATACTTGTCCTCGTTCTATCCACGTCACATGGTCACATTTGTCAAGGCCTTTCCACATCAGGCAGAGTAGAATGTCTGTAAGCAGCTGGACAAGCTCCTCTTCACAGTCCTGCAGAGAAGAAAATCTTTTTTGAATATACCTATCCCACTGATCCTTTCGTGTTCCATAGCCTGACACTCAAGTATAAAGTATTGCACATTTTCATATATAAAAATTTTCAGCAGCATCATATTATAATATTCTTAAATATGAAGCTCGACATATTTGTGGAACAGAGGAATAAAGCCATCAGCTTTTGGGTGACTTTTTTTGTCCGATATTTTCAAAATTTCTGTTCCTATAGCATAAATGAGCAAAGACAACACAAGGTCCCATAGTCAGTAATAAAGATCCCATGACATGCACTAATGTGCACCATGTAGCATTAATGAACTGATCAGATTCTCCAGTGTGCATTCGTTTAACCAGCTAGCAATACACAAGACACTGCATGACTCCCAATTACTTTTAAAGCAGACCTTGCATGAAAGTACAAGAGCGCACTCTCATGGGATGTGGGATCCTCAGCTTTCCTAATATTCTCCAAGCAAGCTAAGTGATGTCACCCTTGTCTATTGCACTTAGGTCCAAGTGCAAGGAAAGTATTTTTTCTGGGTTTTCGCCTAAAGTTTTATAATTTTAGGTTTAAATTATATGTGGGGGGGGGTTGGAAATAAGTGGACCTTGCATTTTCATGTAAGGTCTATGTTAACAAGGGCAGGCGCAAACCACGAAATAGTCTGTTTCTGGCTTAAAAAATGGAGCTAAAATGATAATAGGCTATATTGACAGAGCTAAACCTTTACACATAACAAATATTACAAAAGTTATTGTGTTGATCAGAGTACTTATAGTAAATGTATCTCACCATGTCCTCTTCTACCTCAATAATACCTTCATATACAAGAACATTTAGCCTATGCATGCACACATGTATTTCTTTTCAAACTTGTAGTGTCTTAGACCCGCTGATCAGCCCTTTTTGTAAAGTAGCTTTACCAAAGTGCCAATGGTATTTGTCACATGATCAATGTGGCAATAAAACAATGTAAAATAATATATGTGGATACCTTAAAATAAAAGCAGGGTCTCTAGAAGATCAGCACACTGATGGGTGTATTAAAAGTCACTTTACACATGTCTGTGACATTTCTACACCTGTAGGACTGTGGTGAGCACAGCAAGTCCCGATTATTCAGGGATACAAGTATTCCTAAGAATGAGGGGACCTATATGGGTTGGACTTGATGGACGTATGTCTTTATTCACCCCCAAATACTATGCAACTATGTAAGTCCAAGTATGTTAAAGTGACCCGTGTAGTCAAAAACTTAAGTCAACAAATTCTGCTTTCATACTTAAAAGAGAACTATGGGGTAAACTTTGTATCCCTTAGTACTCCTTAGGGTCATGGGAGGACATATACTAACGCGCTCCCATGGCCCAAAGCTCAGTATATAGCGAGCTACAGCTATATACTGAGAGCGCCGTAGCCGGGACAAATCCCTATAATACTGTCGAGATACTCCGAGCTAACTGATTGACAGCGTGCTCTGCCTATCCAGAGGCAGAGCCAGCTGTGGCCACCCCCCCCCCTACCCGTCTGTTCCTCCAGTCAATGCTGGAGGATTGGAGAGGGAAAGGGGGGGGGGAATTCCTGCGGGGAGCGGTGACTGGCAGTCACCGCTCTCTGCAGGGAGAGGATCGGAAAGTGAGTGAGCGAGTGACGGTATGTTTTCGCTCACTACCCAATCAATAGAGCCGACGTGTGACAGTTTAATTGTCACAGGTCGGCTAGACATATGAGGATGGGTGAAAATCACTCACCTCATACTTCTCCTTTAAGAGCCAGTTTACAACGATTGTAGAATATTTTGTAACATATAATGTCATTGATGTATAAGAACTGTAAGAACAGAATAACCTAAGATGTCAGGTTTGCGCATGTCAAATGAAAATATCTATGTCGTTACTACAAACAATGCATTCACATTTTTCAGATTTACCTCTTTGCTTTCCAAGTTCAGAGTTAGGGAGAAGTCATCCCTGAAGAGTATATTATCAGAATTAACAGACTCTTTCTCTAGTCGGTCAACAGGAAAAGATTTAGAAGACTCTATTGGTGATGGAGTACTGGTCAGGCTTCCGGGTGTTGGATCTTCCGTATCCGGCAAGTCAAAAGAAGTCAGTTCTAGTGTTAGATGGGAATGATCACTGGGCCACATGTCTGGGTCTTCAACCCTGAGCTGAGCTTCACTGAAAGAAGGGTCATCGCCATCCAGCAGTGTGCAATTAGACTGGATACTTGAGTTCAAACACCTGGATTCTTCAGAGCACCAGCTCTGATTAGTATTACTATTTGAAATAAAGTTATCGGTTTTATCTACAGTCACCCTTCCTGAATAACTTCTTCGAGACTCCTCAGTTGTGCTGTTTTTATCTTCCTCTTTAATACTTTCCGTACAATTCACTTTGAAATTGCTCTTGAATTCGGAATTTTCCTTCGAGAAGAATCTAACAAAAGTGTCCTGCCAGCCAACTTGTTGGGCAATCTGACAAGCTGCGTCTGGTAAGAACTGTAGGAGCTGCAGAACCTGCACAAAAGACAAAAAATATATAGCATTTATATAACTAAGATGAGTTGCTAGCTGCTGCATTATCAGCTCATAACTGGAAAGAGTGGAGGGGCAGATCAATAAAAGTGCACACTGCCCATGTGTGAAACTCTGAATTTCTGTCAGAAATGCAACCATACGGTTATATTGTGCCCCAAACCCTGTCAGTTTTGCCAGACAGTGTGGTCTGCATATCTATCTATCTATGAGCATGCAGCTATTACAATATTATTTGCAATTGTGGTTCTTCAATTTTATTTTACCACCATAGTCACATTCCTCTCCCTTGCTGTTAAAGGAAGCTCACCCTATAAATCATTTGATGCATTCTATATTTTGAATTACTGACTCCCTTTTCACCTTTTCAGACTTTCAAAATGATCGGTGTGAAATGACTCAAAATATGTCTGGCAATGTATGTAAACAATGTAATTCAATATAAGGGGTGTATTTAAAAAAATGTTCGAAGAGCAGTTCGCTTTGCAAACATCTGACGTTTACATTCACACCACATTATGGTCACTATATGGAGGCAATTCCTATGCTCCATGGATCTATCTGGAGGCCACAGGTATTGCTGAAAATGTTCTTAGCTTGAAAAATAAGAACTAAGGACTGGTAAGATGCAACACATTACATTTTTGTTCTTGGGTATAGGAATACTTTAATGTGAACTTGTGTGGCTGTGCATAATTTTTGTTGAAATACACTTTAAACTTACCTTTCTACAAACGGCCACGCGTACAGACAGGTCAGATTTGTGGGACATATGCACAACTGCTAGCAAATCTTTATAGTTTATAACTGGATCTGTAAGTCAGGGAGAGAAAACAACTGAAAGGTACAGAAGCCATATAGTTTTATCTCTACATTAAAAAATTAAAGATATATACAGGTGCCACCTTGCTTTGAGAAAGGCAAACCTCATTTAAAAAGGAGCAATTGCCAGTAACATGCCACATGCAAAATAACACAGACAGTTCAACACAATTCTTATTTTTTAAAAATGTGAAAAACTTACCTGCCCTAATGATCTGATTAAGTAGTCCTTTTATCAGTAATGTAGAGACATGGGCTTCATTTATTAGCAATCCTAGCCCTGAATATCCCACTTCTCTCAGCCGAATCCTTTGTTTGCTTTTCTCATAAACCTTGCTGCAGTTTAGCATCTGTTCGAATATCTGCAAAGACAGAGGTTTTAAATCTTAAAAATAGGACTGTGCAAATTAACGATTAATTTCTCGATTAATCGTTAAATCTTTTTGATCGATTAAAATTTTTTTGATCGCTAATGAAAATACTCACCTCTCTGCCGGCTTCCGTGAGTCCCGTCGGAGATCCAGTGACGTCACGGACATCGACATCACTGGACTGCTTCCCCCTTCCCCAAGTGGCTCCGTCGGCTAACGAAGGGAAGGGGGGAGGAGCGCGGTGACGTCGATGTCCCTGAAGTCACCGGACTCCTCCCCCCTTCCCTTCGTTAGCCGACGGAGCCACTTGGGCCGGTGAATTTGCCCAAGAAACTATCTGCACGAGTGCCAGCCAAGGCATTGGCCTGTACACATACAGCACAGCAATGCTGTAATAAAATGAACTAGGATCACACTAATCTAGCACGTTATTATTCTGAGTTGCCCCACTCAAATGGCGGCCATATTGAGTGGGGCACGTGAGATTAATAACGTGCTGGATTAGTGTGATCCTAGTTTATTTTATTACAGCATTGCTGTGCTGTATGTGTATAGGCCGATGTAGTTGGATCTGTATGTGCATTATAAATCGAAATTAATCGATTTTAACAAATTTTGATTCATCGAACACGAAAATTTTAATCAGTAACAGCCCTACTTAAAAAGAAATACATGAAGATAGACAACAAATAAAGTGTGAGGATACAACAAATAAATATGCTACAAAATAAGAACAAATATATATAACCCATAAAGACTGTCCCCTCCGCAATAAAATAGAAATATTAATGTAAAGGTTTGTCAGGCACAGAAAAATTGTACTGAAATAGTGAATATGTATTCAGTAATTCTTAACCACTTCCTCTTGCCTCACAAATATATTTGGTAGCACAAAGGTAGGTTTTAACATTGTGCTGCTGCAGTCTCAATGGTATGACTGAAAATATATTTTTATATATATCTATAGATTTATATATAACATTATGTTTTCTTTGGTAGGTTATATCCTGATATTACATAGATCACATTGGAATATCCCCAAATTGAGCAATCAGATAATACTCTTTCTCTCATTGCAGTCATCCAAGTACGGAGTAATTATAAACAACTGCAGATAGCCAAGCAGTGTTATATGTGCAGTAAAACAGGCTATCTCCCTTCAGTCTATCATAAACACTGCTGCCAGACTTATCAACCTTACCAACCGATCAGCTTCTGCCTCCCCCCTCTACCAATTCCTCCACTGGCTCTCACTTGCCCAATGTATAAAATTCAAAATGCTAACAATAACCTGGAAAGCCATACACAACTCTGCCCCCAACTTACATCACCACCCTTATCTCAAAATACAGCATCACCCAAACCACCACCTTCGCTCTTCCCAAGACATCCTGCTCTCCAGCGCTCGTCACCTCCTCGCATGCTCGCCTCCAGGACTTTTCCAGAGGGTCACCCATCCTCTAGAACTCCATACCCCAATCTGTCCGCCTATCTCCTACTCTGCCCACTGTTAGGCGATCCTTGAAAACTCATCTCTTCAGGGTGGCCTATTCTACCTCGATATAACAGTACTTTCAGTTCTTACATTAAATCACTACACACAGTTATTACCTTTTGTATCACTTGCCCCTCCTACTAGATTGTAAGCTCTCGCGAGCAGGGCCCTTCTACCTCCTGTACTGAAATTGTATTGTTAACTGTATTGTCTCCCTCAATTGTGCAAACTGTTGGCACTATATAAATACTGTATAATAATAATAATAGTAAAAAGATTACTTCTTCGCTGCATTGAAAGAGTTCCACAGTAATGGAGATGGAGGTGGGCAGGCTCAATATTTGGCTTCCCTCGGTCCTTTAGTCTGGAGGTATGCACCGTATTCCTCTTCCCTTGAGAGCACACACAATGTGCAAAGCGTCCCGAGGCTTGAAGGACTGACCCTACAGGTTGCACTGGGGGGCAGGTGATGTCACCAGAGGAAGGAAGAAATGGCCAGAGAGCACAGTAACTCCTGACTCAGCTTCTCCTTCTCTCTGCATGTCCCTGCAAAGGTGGCAGAGGCAGGTGGAGCAGTGGTGGAGTATGCACTAGCAAAGTTGTTAGCTGGCAGTAGTAGTTCAGTACTAAGAGTACTGGGAGGTAGGGAGGTTCAGAGTCACGGGTTAAGTTTAGAGGTGCTGTGTGGCAGAGGGGAGCTGCCAGAAAGGTGCAGTATCAGGGGTGTTGGGTTGCAGTGCCTGAAGTGTTGTGGTTCAGTGTGTGGGGTGCTGGAACACAGGGAAGTTTAGAGTCAGGGGTAACAGTAATGATTGCGAGGAGATGCAATGTCAGGGTGCAGAACGCCCAAGGTACTTCATAGGCCTGAATGCAGAAGCTGTCTACTGGTAACTCTGCAGAGAGGCTTCCCAGACTGAGCACCACCTAATATGCCGTAGGCTACTGTACTTTATCGCTCAATGATCTAATGTAACGCTTACAAGCATTGATAGACAAATCCACCACTGTTTGCACGGTATTCTGACAGCGGCCACCGGCATGATATCCAAATGGAGCTTTCAGCTGAATAGCTGATTTGCTGCTAGCTCCGTTCGGCCGAACATTTTGCAACCGGGTCCTTCAATCAGCTGATCGAGGGAAGCGGGGTGTAAGGGTGCCGACAGCAGCATCCGCTGTGTGAATTTTAGCCAGTTCAACAGGAACCGGCCCAAAATTCCCCCCTATGTATATCCTACTTAAGTCCTAGGGAGGTTTAGTTAGCTTGGGGAGGGGGGTCATGAGGACTAAATTATCTAAAGAATAGTTAGCCTTTAGGCCCATTCAGACCTATCCAATTCAGCAATGTGTGTTTTATCACAATACACAGCACAAGGCATCCTGTGTTCATGTGTGTTCATTTAGAATGGAACCCCAATGCACAAGTACAGTAGGTGCCATTGAAATCCCACTGCAGCACACCACAGTGCACATGCTTTGCACTGTGGTATGCTTCAAAGTTCAAAGTTGCAGGTCTGTTATTTTTGCAAGTCTTGATGAAATTTCCTTAATGCAACACATGCTAACTTGTATGCAGTAGCGCACCACAATGGAAAGGCACAGTGTAAGGGCTGATCACAACACATGCGTAGGTCCATTGTTTCCAGTGCAGCCCCAACACAAGACAAGGCAATTTGCCTTGTCATGGACAAGCTTGGTTCACACCACTGCATTGCGATGGGAATGTGGTGAGGTGCGCCCCAAAAAAGTACAGCATGCTGTACTTTTTTCATTGGAGCGGGATGCGAAGCAGAACCACCTTGCACCCCACTGTGCCCATAGAACTGAATGAAATGTCACAAATGTTTCGACTTTTCAATAAAGTTCTACCCCAAAAAAAAGTACACGATGTGCGATGTGCCAGCAACGTATACCAGCCGCTGTGCGTATATATGCTTTAAGAAACTTCCAGCTTATTAAATCTGTGCTGCTTTATTATGTTTAGGATCTTCGCAAATTTGTTGCAGTTCAAGGTTTAATAAGTTGGATGCTTTTATTGTTAAAAAAAATACATATATAAAAGACCTTTAAATAATTTTAACTTAAGTAGGAAACAGAACCCAGACCTAGCATTTAGTGACAGCATTTAGCTGGAGTCCTCTAATCCCTATTTATTTCCACATACTGGCAGTCAGCTCCCAGTACCGGAAGTCTCCATCGCTAATAACTTATTTGCAGTTCTGTTTAGTAGATCATGTGACATGTATGAGCCACAAATAAGTTTTTTAGTGATGGGAAGTTTCCTGTCTTGGGAGGTGTATCTGCGAAGGGGTAACCTGTATCGCTGCAGGTTACAGGCAATCAGCAGTCATGTTTCTAAATGCCAGGTCCACGGTGTTTACATTTTATGAACCTGCTAGAATTTCTAAAACAAGATCAGATGGAGTGGAACTAGAGTGGTTACATTTCTACTAATCCCTAATTGATTAAAGAACAAATCTATGCAGAGCAAAGTAATACCAGTACCTCCTTATGCAGATACTGCAGTATCCACTGTCATTGCTACAGCTGCATTCAGGAGAAAAATCTAAAGTGAAATCTCAAATGAGTAAAATTCTCCCGACTGGGTCAAAGACAGCATAAAAACCTGAGAGAGAACCTCTAACACGCCCCCGTGCTATCCAAAAGTAAGTGGACTTCATGCTGACATTGGTCTTTTAAGTAATGTTTTCTTATACCCAAACATGCATATTTCAGTGGCAAATGGAAAACATACCTTGAACACAAGTTCTTTAAGTCGGTCAGAGTACCTTTGATTCAACAGCAAAGCATACAGAATATCAGCGCTCCCTGGCTCAAACAAAAGCAGGAAAAGCTGATCTATTGTGGGAGTTGTCAGGAGGTGGTAGATAATCTCTAAAATACCAGACAGCTAAAAGAAAATAAAACCGAGAAATAATTATTTGACATTTGTGTAACATTGGTGGAATATAAAGCTTATCCTAATTGCAATTCAGAAACATGGTATTACCTGTTGTTCATCACTGGTCGCTGCTATGTAACCAATTATACTCTGAATCTCCTCCTGGGTCCCGCCTTTGCTCAGAAAATATTTAATGAGTCCAAACAAAGACGTTCTAATGGTTGTTAGATCTTCTGACGTCAATGAAGTTTCTTTGCTGAAGATTTCAGAAAAAGAAAATAGAAAGTTACAAAACCTGCAGGTATGGCCAGTCTGGGGAGAATCGAGACATTTGTCAATCCAAGCAATGAGGATCCATTCATTCCTTGATTCCCATTGGACATTTTCAATCAACATCAAACTTAGAAGAACTGAAGAACTGTGAATAAGGATCACCAACACATCCCAATCGCCTCATAAAAGCAGATATCGTAACAGTGGATGCAGCAAGTAAAGCTTACATGTTTTGGACAAATATAGATTTAAAGGAATTCTAAAGTCCCAGCATACACTATTCTGTTATAACATCAGCATTATAATATGAATACATACTATAGTTACTTTTGATATTGCAATCAAAGCTTCCTTGAAAAAAATAATTTGTATGTAGTTAATGCTGCCTTTCATCTGCTCATCACTTTGAACAACTTCCTGGATTCCCAGTGTGCTTTGCATCTCTTTTGCCGCTGATACAATCTCAATTTATCAACACTACATAGCCCATGATGCATTGCTTCCAGCAAGCAATAATAAAGTTACATTGTTTAGATGTTGAGTTGTAGTTCAGAAGGCAGGCTTTCTGAGAGATGACACAATGACGTGCATATTCACAAGGCTGAGTGATACTGTGTCAATGCATTGAGGAAGTACATCCGACTGGCATCTTCAAAAAGTAAGTTTACATATTGATTGATATGATTATCAGGAGTGTAGAACTTATGGTAATTCAATATAGAAATACATGTTTATTTCTTGTTTTTGATCATAGATACCCTTTAAGTCTTATATCCTGTTCATCTGAAACATGTAAGTTATACTTGCCACATGTAATTAAAGAAGAAATATAGGATGAGTGAAATGCACTCATCCCAATAGTTACAGCTGATGTGCGACACTGCAGCTGTCACACGTCGGCTCTATAAATCCAGAACTGGGCAATCACATACCACTGATCGCTCAGCCAAGGACTTCTCCCTGCAGAGAGTGGTGACTGTCAATCACCTCTCCCCATAGGCATTATTGTCGGGATGTTTCCTGGCTGCAGCACGGCTCTGCACTCTCAGCATATTGGGGGCAATTAGTAAATGTCCTCCTGTGACCCCTAAAGAAAACTATGGCCAAAAAAAGGTTTCACCATAGTTTGTCTTTTAAGTTGGCTCTTATGAGGAGTCATCTCTGTTAATGGATAATACAAGTACAAGATGCAAACAGTTGCCGGGCTGTCTCTGGCCTTGAGGCCTGGTTCACACCTAGGCGGCATCGTTTTTACACGTCTGTATGCGCGTGCGGTTATTTGCACGTTTATGCGTTTTGCACATTTTGATACACATTTGTATTCACATACATCACTACGTGCGTTTTGACTGCCAGCTTAAAATACATTGCGGGCAATGGATGAACGTGCGTACAAACTCACGCGAAAATGTGCAACATGCTTCTGCCGTGCATTTTCAGGCGTTTCCATTGAAGTCTATGGGGCAAAACCAGGCTGCCCAAAGCTCATCTACCCTTTCGGGCGTTTGGCGTTGTCCTGCTGACATTTTGCTGCTCAGTTGTAAACAGGGGCCATTAAAAATCATGGGATTTCTTGTGTTGGGTGTTTAAAAGCGCTTTTCAAACTGCTCAAAAACGCCTAGGTGTGAACCAAGCCTAGTACTTTCAGCCAATGACCGTGAACAAGCATGCAGTTTCAGTGAAAAGGAAAGTCAGAATTTCTGATCTGCATACTTGTTGCCTGGCAGTGTCTCTATACTGATGCCAAAGAGATGTTTTGTTGATGTTCACTCGTTACGTATTTAATGCTTAGGATCTTGGAAATATTACGTTTTAGCCATGTACAGATAAACAATGGAAACAATGTAGCATTCGTCACTTGGCCTAAATGTTAGATAGTTTTGTAAACTGTGCAAGGTCATCTAACAAACCACAGAAATGAACATCAGAGCATCAGTGAACAGTGATGAATACGTGTTTGTTCTTCAGATTGTCCATTGAAAAAAATCAATTTGTGGCTGTGCGCAGAAGTTCAAATGACTACATCACAATTGTTTGGAAATATAGTTTTCAAATACAGGTACGTTTGTTACATATACTGTATATGAAATAGGCCTCCTTAACACGGAGCATGTTGCCCCATACTGAGTGAAGGGCTGGTTTTTAATGCGCTCACAGCTGCAGGAAGAAGCTTGCAGGCAACTCATGTAACTTTATGGAAATGCAGGAGCTGTGCGACCTCACATACATTGCTTCCCGCAGCTCCGAGTTTTGACAGCCACACCCAGCCGGTATATGGCCTCAGAAAAAGACATAATGGATCCAGGTCTGTACATCATCTGTGTGTGGCTGTCAAAACTCAGAGCTGTGGGAAGTAGCATGTGAGGGCACACAGCTTTTGGGTCTCTGTAGAGTTACATGAGCTGCCCATGTGCTTCTTCCTGCGGTTCCAGGTGCTTGAAAAACCGTCCATTCACACTGTATGGGGCAACTTGCCCTGTGTGAATAAGGCCATACATAAAAATATAACTATTTTTCTGTACTGGGGAATATATTTGTTCTTACTTTGGCTGGCAGTGGGCAGGACTAGCTGTGGTCAGGTGTTGATTCATAAACTACACGCTTGTGAATCAGCAGTGACAATGATAATGGCCATGTCCCCTACAACATCTTCTTATCTAATTGTAGTAAAAGCTGGCACAGCCTACATGAGTGGCAACTCTGCCCTGAATTTAGGATCAGTGCAGCATGGTTGCCACACCATCACAGGAAGCTGCATTAGGTGGACTTCACTGGCAGGATCAACATGGATTAGTGGGACTTTATAGGGATGGCTACAGATAAAACTGTAAGCTCTAATGCAATGCTGTATTTAAGAGTTTTTAGTCGAGGATGTTTCAGTTTGCTAGTGGCCCATCTCACCATAACCCAACTGTCTATTTTGTGAGGCTGTAGTCATTATGCGTACCTGTAGTATATCCGGATTGTATCCAGCAGAAACTGAACACCATACTTTTTGCGGAAGAGTTTTTTGCTGTCTTTTATGATGGTGGACAAGTACTGTATGTGCCCTACAAACAAAGGAGGGACATTGTTTACAATGGACAGACTATTCAAATATTACAATCTGAATGAAAGGTTATATAGATTGTTATCAAATTGCTTATTCTGAATTGTATAGCATTACAATCTTGGCTTTGGTGAAATGGTTACAGACAATCTCAGGCAATTCATATTAATAAATGTAAATGCAATACAAGTCTAATTCTAAAAACTTCAAATGGCCTTCATCAGGTTTATGTCTTTTTGTTATAACTAGATTGTTCTGTGCCAGTAATATATTCTCTTTTCAAACATAAGAACGGATTGAAAACCCGACAGGGTTTTAGTTATCAAAAAAGCTAGAAGAAAAAAAGGTTTTGACTGATGAATTAAGCAAATCAGTAGTTTTAAGCCTAACTTTAGTCAAAAAAAGATTTTATTTTGTATCCAGAAGGAAATTTGTAGCCTCTGCCAGCTTATTTTTACCATCTGCGTTTCTATTGGGGAGACGTCCCCACATTTCCTCTCAGTATGTGAAATCTCTTTAATGGGCAGAAATACAGAAACACATGTTAAGCAGAGCAGGGCCGGCCTTAGGCCTCCCGTGCGAGAAAGCTTTACAGCGCCCCTCAGTGACCACACCCCTCAGTGGCCACACCCTGTAGAGTTAGAACCTGGGTTACGGTTAGGACCTCAGACAATGGATGTCGTGTTACAAGTTCTGGTGACATGACTGCTGCCAATTGTTCTACAGTGTCATAAGGACAGGAGGTGTGGTGCAATCTTTCCAATGGTTACTCAGACAGAAATAAAAATCTGACAGGAATGTTAACTCGTCCCAACTCTATCCAAAATGAAATAAAAACAAAATGGATGTACTATACTGTAGAAAAATGGTTCTTACATGATACTGAACATCCAGAATCAACACACTGACAATTTTTAGAAACTCACCAATTCGGAAGGGGAAATCTCCACGATTCCAGATACGGAAGTCAAAAAGCAGATACTGGTACATTTGTTGTAGCAGGGGAGTATTCTTCTCTACTGACACTTGCTCTATTAGTAACTGGAGTGACATTAGCACATTCACATCCATAAAGTGTCCTGGTACCTGAGAAGACACAAGATGATGGCTTGATTCATTCATTAAAAAGAATTACTCCTAGCCAGAGACTTTTGTTAACAGTGAAACTTTCTCTTGCCCTCATGACTAATGCATTTAACAAATCAGTGAGTGATGTGCTATCATTTTCGAGTTTAATCCAACCACCAATAATCCATCACACTATACTGATGGACAACTACAATGATGCATTATTCACTTACAATAGTCCATTAGCGTTCCTAAACTACTTATCACCTTTGTGCAGAACACATTTGGCAGGAAAAGTACTTCTGGTATATTTTAGATGAGTCATTCCTTTACTCGAATATTCAATATATGTATGGCATTAAAAGCCATTCATTATTACTAGGAAAATAACCAACTCACAAAACAGACTTTTTGAAAGTTGTTTGTAGATCCACTCTGCTTCATATGGCCATATTTTCAGCCTCTTATGATAGTGCTGAGCACTCCAGCCATTCCTCCCTCTTAGGATGCGGTCTTCTACTACCTGCCCTGGCCTCTGAGCATGAGTGAAACAAATAGCATACAGTTCCCAGGTTCCTACAGCATACACATGCTTACCAGAGGTCTACATAAAGTGGTTCTCTGCCAATAAAGAGAGCACCTCCAATATTTGTTCAAGATCATTTTTGAGGGTGTCCCCGACTCTCGTAGGTCAGTTTATATAGAGGGAGAATGGTACTGAACAACTGTATTCACATAGCGAAGGTGGGTGAGCGGAGAGTTTTTCATCTCATGAGAAATAATCTCAACAATGAAAAAAATAATCTCAAAAGTAATCTTAACCTGTTGCCGTCCGCCCGTTATAATGGAACGGCCGGACAGATGTTGGCTATCTGCGGGTTGCCGTTACGAGACGGCTTTTTTTTCTTGTGCTCGTGCGCGCCCCCTGGCGCGGTCACGAGTGAACAACATTGGACAGTGTAGTTTAAACAACATTGTTGCAGGGCAAAGTAAATTGGCTCTGTTCAGTGTGATCGCTGTGACCAATCACAGCAGATCAATAACTGTAAACAATGTTGCTGTTTTTAGCGATTTCTCCTCTTCTCTCACACACTGTTCAGCTGTGAGAGAAGAGGAGACTTTTCCGACAGTGAAAGAATACTGTTTTAAACAGCACATCTTCCAGAACACATTTTACTACAGTGCCAGCCTACTGATTGCCAGCAGCACCAGCCCTGCCAGCGTCCTGATTGCGGTCAGTACCCTTCTGTCAGTCTGTCAGTCCTGATTGCGGTCAGTGCCCATCTGTCAATCTGTCAAAGTTCTGATCGCGGTCAGCGCCGGCACTGTCAGTCCGTCACAGTCCTAATTGTGGTCAGTGAACATCTGTCAATCTGTCAAAGTCCCGATTGCGGTCAGCACCCACCCTGTCAGTCCATCAAAGTCCTGATTGCGGTCAGTGCCCATCTGTTAATCTGTCAATCCGTCAGTCCTGATTGCGGTCAGTGCCCATCTGTCAAAGTCCTGATCGCGGTCAGTGCCCATCTGTCAGAGTCCTGATTGCGGTCAGCACCCGCCCTGTCAGTCCATCAAAGTCCTGATTGCGGTCAGTGCCCATCTGTCAATCTGTCAGTCCTGATTGCGGTCAGTGCCCATCTGTCAAAGTCCTGATTGCGGTCAGTGCCCATCTGTCAATCTGTCAGTCCTGATTGCGGTCAGTGCCCATCTGTCAAAGTCCTGATTGCGGTCAGCGCCCGCCCTGTCAGTCCGTCAAAGTCCTAATTGTGGTCAGTGCCTGTCTGTCAGTCCATCAGAGTCCTGTCAGTGCATTAGAGTCCTGATTGTCAGCAGTGCCAGCCCCAATCAGAGTTGTGCCAGCCCAAATCTATCTGCGATTACTATAGTGCCATCCGTCAGTTAGCATCTTGATTTGCCAATATAAGTACCACACAGTACCAGTGCCAGCCCCAATCAGTACAAGTGCAGTTTCAGTAGGTACCATTACAGCCCCAAGTACAAGAAAAGTAAGGCCACCACCAGAAATGTCAAAACAAACCTACGCTAGTGAGGAGGCCTTTCAAATTCTTAGTGTAAGTGATGAGAGTGATGGAGAAACCTCAGATTCAGGATCAGAGTATGAACCTGTGGAAAGTAGCGGTTCATTATCCACCTCTGATTCTGATTCTGAAGTTGTCCCATCTAAAAGAGCCAGGCGTGCTGTGCCAGTCATCACACATCCAACTGAAATGCAGCTGTCCAAGCACTAGCACTGCAGTGCATCCTCATCAAATTGCAAGCAGCAGTAGTGCGGTAATCCATCATCAGCCACCCAGAGTTAGGCCCTGAGAGCACGTACTAGTGTGCCAGAGGGACTTGCAACAGGTATGGGGTTAAGTTTTACAAACTTTGTGAAAGAAGAACTGGCTACCCATACGATTTTCGTGTTTTTGAAGGGAGAGATAGCCAGCTGGAGCCCCCTGGATGCCCATCTTACATTGGAAGCAGTGGAAAAATTGTGTGGGACCTACTATCACCCTTACTTCATCAGGGATACCATCTCTATGTGGACAATTTTTATGCAAGTGTGCCACTGTTCAAGCATCTCTTCCTCCAAAAAACCCCAGCCTGTGGTACAATGCGACCAAATCGCATTGGCTTTCCCCAAAATTTAGTCCACAAGAAACTGAAAAGGGGGGAGTCAGCCAGTATGAGGAATGACGAACTTTTAGCCCTTAAATGGAAGGACAAACGTGACGTTTATGTACTTTCATCTATACATCCAGATACCTCAGTGGAAGTTCAGGGACATTATGGTGTGTTGCCAAAGCCTCTTTGTATCCAGGAATATAATCTGCATATGGGTGGTGTAGATTTTAATGACCAGATGCTGCAGCCATACCTGGCAACCCGAAGATCAAAGCACTGGTACAAAAAAGTTTCAATATATCTTTTCCAATTGGCTATGTATAACTCATTTGTGATTTATAAATCTGCGGGAAGATCTGGCTCTTACCTACAATATCAAGTGGAAATGATTACAGCCCTGATTTACCAGCAAAGCCCTGTTCCTGAAAGGCTGCAGTCCGATGCAGTCAGTAGGCTGCATGAGAGACATTTCCCCGATGTTGTTCCTCCTAACGAAGTAGACCGGACACCCCAAAAATGATGCAGAGTGTGTAGCAAACATGGAATAAGGAGTGACACACGTTACTATTGTCCCTATTGTCCCTCAAAACCTGGCCTCTGCATTAGAGGCTGCTTCCGCCTCTACCATACCTCACTGAGATATTAGTGTAGGTATATGGTGTTCCTGCCCGCTGCCCTGACGAATAATTTGCCTGAATATTGATCTGCTTGCTTCCTGAACAGACCCTTGCTTGTTTATTGACCACGTTTCTGCCTGCTGCCTGGACTGATTCTTTGCCTGGATACTGACCATGTCTCTGCCTGCCACGTTAACGGACCTTTGCCTGCATACTGACCATGTCTCTGCCTGCTGCCTGAACTGACCTAGGACTGTTTATAGACCACGTTTGTGCCTGCTGCCTGGACTGATTCTTTGCTTTGATACTGACCACGTCTCTCACCGCCACGTTAACTGACCTTTGCCTGGATACTGACCATGTCTCTGCCTGCTGCCTGAACTGACCTAGGACTGTTTATTGACCACGTTTGTGCCTGCTGCCTGGACTGATTCTTTGCCTGGATACAGACCACGTCTCTGCCTGCCACGTTAACTAACTTTTGCCTGGATACTGACCATGTCTCTGCCTGCCGCCTGAACTGACCTAGGACTGTTTATAGACCACGTTTGTGCCTGCTGCCAGGACTGATTCTTTGCCTTCATACTGACCACGTCTCTGACCGCCACGTTAAATGACCTTTGTCTGGATACTGACCATGTCTCTGCCTGCTGCCTGAACTGACCTAGGACTGTTTATTGACCACGTTTGTGCCTGCTGCCTTGACTGATTCTTTGCCTGGATACAGACCACGTCTCTGCTTGCCACGTTAACTAACTTTTGCCTGGATACTGACCATGTCTCTGCCTGCCGCCCGAACTGACCTAGGACTGTTTATCGACCACGTTTCTGCCTGCTGCCTGGACTGCTCCTTTGCCTGCATACTGACCAGGTCTCTGCTTGCCGCCTGAACTGATCTGTCTGCTGCTTGTAGTGATTCATCTGCATGTCCCACTGACAATGTTCCAGCCAAAACACCAGTCCCAGCCATCCTCTGCTGACAACTACACTTCTGGAACCACAGGTACTGTTTTGTTTACCCTTTGTCCAGCTTCCTGTAGGTTATCATGGTGCTCCTTGGAATTTTGGGCCCCTCTATGTGGCTAGGCCGCAAAAAAGTCTGACATGTGTGGTATCCCCATACTCAGGAGGAGTAGCAGAATTTGTTTTGGGGTGTAATTCTAAGGATTTATATGCTGTGCGTTAGCTATATCGTGTTAATTCACAACTTTGTGTAGATTTTTTTTTTTTCCTTTCTTCATTTTCTAAAAACTTGTGGCAGGAAAATGAAGTTGTCAAAAAACTCACCATGCCTCTTATTAAATACCTTGGGGGACTTTGGGATCATTTTGTGGGTGTTTCTACTGCGCTGGCACGTTAGGGCCTCAAAAAACGCAATAGATAGTCAGGGAATCAAATGCGTAATTTATGCCCCTTGAAAGCCTCAAGGTGTTCCTGGGATTTTGGGCCCCTCTATGTGGCTGGGCTGCAAAAAAAGTTTGACGTGTGGTATCCGCATACTCAGGAGGATTAGTAGAATGTGTTTTGAGGTGTTATTCCAAGGATGTCAAAGCTGTGTGTAAGAAATATCATATAAATTGTCAACTTTGTGTAAAAAAAAAAAAAATAATTTTCTTTCTTCATTTTCTAAAATTCTGTGGCAAAAAATGAAATCTTGGAAAGACTCAGCATGTTTTTTATCAAATACCTTTGGGTGTCTTCTTTTCAAAATGGGGTCATTTTGTGGGTGTTTATTCTCTCCTGGCACTTCAGGGCCTCCAAAAATGCAATAGGTAGTCAAAAAAACAAAAGTACAATTTATTTCTATTCAAAACCTCAAGGTGCTCTTTGGGGTTTGGGCCCCTCTATGTGGCTAGGCCGCAAAAAAGTCTTACATATTTGATATCCCCATACTCGGAAGGAGTAGCAGAATGTTTTTTGGGGGTACAATTTTATGTGTGCCCATGCTGTGTGTTAGGTATATCTTTTTAACAGGCAACTTTATGTAAAAAAAGTTGTCCTTGCATTTTGGGGCCTCAAGAAATGCAATAAGCAGTCAGGGCACGGGGGTTGATACAATTCAAATATATATACCATAGTCTGTGGACTATATAACTTTCACACATTGTAATTAATTTACACTTTTTTTTTTTTAACCAAAGAAATGTAGCAGAATACATTTTGGTCTAAATTTATGAAGAAAGATTATTTATGTGCAAATTTTCATAGCTTAACATAGGGAAAACAGGTTTTTTTTTTCAAAATGTTCGGTACATTTTCCTTAATAGTAAAAAATTAAAACCCCAGTGGTGATTAAATACCACCAAAAAAAAGCTCTATCTGTCCCCAAAAAAGAATATAAAATTCATGTTGGTACAGCATTGTATTGCTGAATAATTGTCAGTGAAAGTACTGCAGCGCTGAATACTGAAAAATGGTCTGGATGGGAAGGGGGTTTAACACCGTGGAAGTCAAGTGGTTAAAGATAATTTTTTTAGCATGGAAAAATAATATCCTAAGGAATTTTCTTTGGTAACTGTACAAGGGAAGGTCATCCAGAAGGCCTTTTAGCAATGGTAAGGGCAACAAATATTAGGAAAGGCAAAGGAATTAGCATTGAACACTAAACACATTAAACACATTGAGCATAACATTGTATGCAAAATATCAGCTGTCCCACTACGTCCCTTAAAGGGTAACTCCACTTAAAAAAAATGAAATAAAAAAAAAATCTTTAAAAAATGAACATAGCATTTGTAATTTAATGTAATATGATGTAAAAATTCTATGTAATATGATGTATTAATGATTACAGAGCTACATTACAATTGTTCTAAGTGCAGCTTTAATCTTGCACAGCTAGGTGTTACCTTCTGTAGCAAGGCCCCCAACGTGGCTACTCCATGTGAATGAATAAGATTCTCCTGATTGATCTGATGTCTCTGGATAAAATGTTTCAGCATCAAAATAAAAGTAGCAACAATATTCTTTTCCATACGGGCCTCTGCAAAGTTAACAGCAGTGTATGAGACAAAAGACTAGATAAAGTGACCACATATTCTACTATCTGGTGAGGGCACAAACAAAGAACAGTAATCAATATCAATTACACTGACACTTTTATTGTGGAATAAGTATATTGTCTAGGGTCTGTCAATGTGTCTGTGTGTGTCACATTTAAGTTGTGTGCAGCGGTGATTGTACATTTAATTTCTTATTATTACACCGGTGACCATATAATGCTTCTGATGAATAACATTTTGCAAAAAAGTTTTCTGGGTGTAGCAAGGTTGTCAGTAATGTGTGGAGTGGAAGATGATGATTTAACAAACAGAAACCATTTAACACAAAGACACTAGAATAAAAAGTTGTCTTTATCTTTCGATAGATCACAAATATTTGCAGACTTTTTTTCCCCATTAAACACTTAAAGGGAACCTACCATTAATGAGGTTTATACAACGATACTTTATCTAAATCTCATCCTGGAGTTGTACCTCTACTTCTTAAAAAATATCTCTAAAGCTAAAACTTTGTTTTATTATGGGAAGAGTGGGACATGGTGAAACCTCTGTCATATTTTTTTTGCCTGTTTGCCATTGGGGAGATTTAATTTCACCTCCTGTTCGGTTGACACAACAGAAAATAAGAAGTGGGAGGAAATCTCTCCAAAGTAAGAGAGTAAGCGTCCCGATTTGAGGGAACAGGGGTGAGACCTTTGGATGTTAGGCAATGTGGTGCAATATAGTGCCAGTCAAGATTATCTCATCACAGGGTCAGGGTAATCATTCACTTTACAATATATTTTTTTCTTAGGAACAGTGACATTTTTGCAAAGCCTATTCAAATTCACCTTTTGTTAATCGCTTTAGTGTCATAAGCCCAAAAAGTTGTAAATTATGTGGTCCACAACTATTTGCGCTGCCCAGCAAACACTATGAGCAGTGTAAGCATTCCTGAAATAGCTGTTCAAGGGTGAACATTTCTGTACTGGGTGTGTGAAGGTTGGTAAAATAGAAGTCCTGGATCCAAAAGAGTAACTAGCTGCACAAGGAAGAATTAATAAGGTGGGCATGGGAATGTTGCTGACCAAGCAGGCACTGACTGGGGACAGATCAAAAGTAAGAAAAGTTGGACAAGATGAGGACACAGAGGAAGGTAGGTCACAATCAGAAGAAAGGCTAAATGGAGAACATCAGCTAAGCTAGTCCTTAACTAAAACATCATAATAAAAATATATACAAAGAATCTAAGAGAACAGGTCCTGAAATGTGAAATTCTATCAATTTAAAAACATGTTCTCTAGGAAAAACTGATCAGATTAAAACATGATAATGTCCTCATTCGCAACTACTGCACATCCTACTTACTGCCTCCAAAAGTGCATTGTAATAAATATATATATATATATATATATATATATAACCACCACATCAGTACTTCGTTGGGCCACGAGATAACTCCACGAGATGACTTTGTTGCGCCAAAAAAAATCGTGACTCCACGAGATGTTGAAAGGTGATGCGAGGAATCTGACACTGCACTGTTTCCCTTCTGTTGTCTTGTACCAGTCTTGCCACTCTCCGTTCTGCCCTAACATTGACTAGTCGCTGACGGCCACAATTCGCACGTTCAGATCCAGATTTTCGGCTGACAGTCCAGTCTTTAAACACTTTAACAATGAGCCCCTCTTGAACATTTAACGAATGTTGCTGTTTTGCTGATACTCGCTCCATGGCTTGAGCGCCAACAATCATCCCACGTTCAAAGGCTGTTAAATCACGTTGTTTACCCATATCTTCAGGAAAAATCACTTCTATTGTCGTGGCAAACAACCTGCTTCCCTATTTATAATGGTCTGGCCCTCTAGCAACTTCAGCGCCAAATTATAGCTAATTATAGCTAATTTGCCTACAAACGTCAGGTGGTCATAATAATCTGGCCACTCAGTGTGTGTGTGTGTGTGTGTGTGTGTGTAATATATATATATAGATAGATAGATAGATAGATAGATAGATAGATAGATAGATAGATAGATAGATAGATAGATAGATAGATAATTTTGTTTTACTTTAACCTTTCACTTTTCTTACAAAAAAAAATAGTTCACCTTGATCACTGGATTTTCTCTTAAAGTGATATTATAGTCAAAAGGATTTTAAGCTATTTCAAATACAAATGAAATCACTAACAATGGATTCTGCTTCTTGATGTTTAAAAGTTTTAGTTTCCTGCAGAATCAGCTGGTCCCCTGAGCACTGGTCCTGATATCCTGTGTTTGTGTGGCTCCTTTGCCTATAGAGTGTCCCTTGTGTGTGCCAGTATGCTGTGTTTTTCTCCACAAACACACAGGCATAGCAAATCAAGCTACTCCCTTCCACCCTGGCACCCTCTCCTCCCTTCTCCAAGCTAGCAGATGAACAGTTGCTGGAGTCTGCACTGTCCTTTGTGATCTTGTACTGGACAGAAAGTTCAGGGAAGCTGAGCTGAGAGACTTGGAAGCAGCCGTTAGGAAACATAATGACTGTAAGTGTTTGGCCAAAAATGTAAAGCAATGCTTTGCTGGGCAATGTATTTTTTTTTTTCATCTGGATACATTATTGAAAAAAGTTTGAGAGTTTAATACTACTTTAAGGGTCAAAGACTCTACCACACTGTAATAAATTAGTCCTAGGAACTTCCATCACCCGCCTAATTTTATGTGCTGATAAAATCCATAAACTTGCCAGAAAAAATAATGCATTTTGATACAATTAAGAGAGAAGTACACGATTACCGTATCCAATACATGATTCTTCACAAAATATAATTGCACTCATAGCAATTAGCAGTGAGCACATGACTTATGCTATTTTTTCCTACTAAAGGGCAGCTGTAGGCTTGAAAGCCTTCAAGTAGGCGGATTCTCTATTAGGGCATACAGGGGAATGGCTGGACATGTGTAGTATGTTGGCTTGGAGCCATCAAACTGTAGTGGGGCATAACTATAGGATGAGGAAAGTGAGGAGGGGCAGTTGGCCCCAACATATTTTAAACGTGGTGCTGTACTTTAAAATGACTTCAGCAAATTGGGAAATAGTACAACTCCAGGACCAAAAGGTATTATTTTCAGAAACATATTATGGATCAGATATTTTCAGAAACATTAGAAGAATTATGCACCACACTTACAATACAGCAAGAGAATAGGGGTTTAATAATGGTCTGAGGAGTTGGTGCATGGAGGAAGGGTTTAGAATTTTGGAGAACTGGCTGGAATCCTTAGGAACGTATGGTACTATTTGGGCTTTTTTGGTGAACTGGGGTGATATGTAAGGTGCCAAAAGTATGAAACCATAACCTCAGATATAGACTGCCTGCATCTTACAAGGAGCATGCAGCACTACTTAAAGGAGAACTATGAGGTGAGTGCTTTTCACTCACCTCATAGTTCTAGCCGATTTGTGACAATGAGACTGTCACAGGTCGGCTCAGTAGATCTGGAAGTGATCCTCCAGCGCTGACTGGCGGAACGGACGGGGGAGTGGGCGGATACAGCTTGCTCTGCCTTTAAGATAGGCAGAGCCAGCTGTCACTCATGCAGCTGGGCGGATCCAGACATAATTGTCGGGATCCGCTTCAGCAGCGGCGTCTCAGTATACCGCAAGCTACTGAGCTTAGGGTGACGGGAGGACGCTAGTTTGTGTCCTCCCGTTACCCTAAGGAAAACTATGGGGAAAAGCCCCAACCCCATAGTTCTCCTTTAAGAGGAAAGATAGTTACAAGGTGTAGGATATTTTAAACTAGTATCTAAGGGGGAGCATGCAGATAGAAAAAGTAGGCAAGATACAGAACATTGAGAGCAAGTTACATTAAAAGTTGGATCAAAGTTAATGTACATAGATTGGGTGCGTTTGCCAAAAACAGTAATCAGTGGAATGCTGCTTGCATAAGCCTGATAACTTATATATCTTAGTCAATGTCTAAGACAGCTTGCCTTAAGCATTTATACCTGAAGCCTTTGTAGAAGGCAGAACTACAAAATCTCCTTCCGTTGGGGTTAGTAGTTCTGGGGGCAGCATGACAGGCTCTGTTTTGTCACAGGCTGATTCATTTAATAAGCTGATCTGTTCCAACAGTGGAAATAATGTATTTAGTCCACCAATGCAGTTAATCATGTCCTAAAAGAGAAATAAAAGGGTTAGTTAGTTTTTTCTGGAGAGTAAAGGAATACATTTAAAGTTCTTTTCTACTACAAGCAGCACAAGGTATAATGACACAGCCATAAGGCAGAGGGTACACATGTTTCCCATACAACAATGACGTCTTGTTCCGATTCTCTGTACTGCATTTTGATGTAGATCAAGGTCTTAACAACACGAGACTGTCTTAGATTTATCTGAAAACTGCTGTACATGGAAACTCTATAAAGCCCACAATGATCCCAAGTGATCTGTTTTACTGTGTGTTCCATGCAAAGTAGATTACATTTAATGACTCAATGAAAAGTAAAAGGATGAAGCACTTCCCACTACATAATAACTATATGAAGTAATAACTTATATCTTTCAAAGACATTCCTAAATGATTAATTAGTGCCGAAAGCAAGTAAAGAGAATCAATATTCTGCAAATAAAAGAATAACTTATTTTTTCAATTAATTGCAGTCACGCCCACTGCAAGTTGAATGCGACTTTACAACACACTTGCAGAGAGGCTAATGATCTGTTGTAGCATCTCTTTTTCACTAGCCAGGCATTTATCTAAGGCTGACAATACACTACCATCTACCATTAACTATGTAGTGCAAGGGCCTGTCCGATTTCATACAATTAGTTAGGTTTCTCATCATATTACAGATTGTATTATATGGCCAGCTTAAGAGTTCATTTATCACCAGGAGATTAACACACTGACAGAAGTCATGTTCTGACTAAATGTTAAACCAGTTTGTATGGGAAGCTTTATCTTCAAATGCATTTGATGTTTAAAGTTCAAATCCAGTAAACTGATTTTTTGGAGTGGGGAAGGGTTAGAACTAGGGATGCACCGATACTAGTATCGGTATCAGTGCCGATACAGAGTATTTGGGTGAGTACTCGTACTCGCCCAAATGCTCCGATACCTAGCACGTATGTACTTCCTGTATCATTACACGCTGCCCGGTTTCCCGATTGGCCAGGAAACGGCTCCATGCTCGCTCGTCACTTGTGACGAGAGAGCATGGAGCCGACTTCCCGGCCAATCAGGAAGCCAGGTAGCGTGCAATGACGCGCTGCCTGGCTTCCCGATTGGTCAGGAAGCTAGCAAATCTGGAAGCCATGTAATGACGCAGCGCCTGGCATTCTGATTGGCCGGGAAGCCGGCGTCATGCTCCCTCGTCATCTCATGAATCATAATATTAAGAAAGTGACCTTAAAGCATTAGTTTGTGACCTGTCCCTTTAAGAAAAAGTATCGGTAATTGGTATCTGCGAGTACTTGATCAAAAGTATCGGTACTCGTACTCGGTCTTAAAAAAGTGGTATCGGTGCATCCCTAGTTAGAACATATATCATGTTTTTAATGCACATTTCAGAAATGCTGCTTCATTTCTTGTATGGTAACAGGGGTAAGAAGAAAGAAGGGGCATTTTATTAATGGTGTCAAAGACAAAAATAACAGCAAATCTGTTAAGTAGAGTGGGAAAGGGTAAGAGCTTCTGTTTTGCTCTCTATTTCCCTGGTGAGCATATTTACCTGACCTTCCTGTGTGATCACCAAGACAGAAAGTGAGGAGAAACATCTCCAACAATAGTAATGTGACAACACTATGGTCAATAAAGATTTACTATAATTTGCATAGGAGTGTGAGTGACTTTTTGCTTATTACGTTTGATATGCAGAGGCATCCGCAGTCACTTTCAGCACCCCCCACTCTTTTTTTTGTGGGTTTGATCCAGTCAGGAGTGCTATGGGATCCACTATATTCTGACATCTCCAACAAGGACACAGACAACAATAAAAAGTTGACAAATCTTCTACTCTATCCAAAACTAAAAGAGTCTTGGGTTGGGGTTGTACTTTAATCTGACTAGCCAGGTTGTACAATATCTTGACTGTTGGAATCATATGCTGACTAGTTAAAAATAAAAAATCAAACAGTTTGAATTATACATGGTAAATAAAATGCAACCACTGAATATATCTGCTGGAAAATATTTAGGCAAATTACACTAGGAGTCTATTTATCAATGTTTTCACACAAGATTCACACATTTTCTAAGTGGATTTAACTAGAAAAATGTTTGAATCCTGGGTAAAGGTTGTGTGGCTCTTTTATAAAAACATTGATAAAAAAGATCCCTAGGTATAAATTATATAAGAAGTTATACAAGAAGACTTATATAAGAAGTTGTGTAAGACAACTTGTTATCCCAGGAAAGTATAAAAACCAATACCCTAATGTCCCAAACTTATATAAGAAGAATTAGACGACTTGTTATCCCAGTAAAGCATAAAAACTGATACCTTAATGTCCCAGTTCACAACTTTGTTCCCTGTCAATCGTCCGTTCAGAAGGTTTTGTGATAAATCAAGGCAGATGGTATTTCCACAAGCCTGAGCAAACAGGATAGATAAATAAATAAAATACATTATACTAATCATTGGATCATAAACCAACACAAACATTAGCATATGGCTGTATGAGTAAGACAGCTGACATCCTTGACTTTGACCTCACTGCAAAGTTGATAATGTTCCCCATCACCCTGTTAAAGAGTCTTGCACTTCATGTTTTTATTTAACATTATGGAAAATGTGTACTCCCTCTGCTGCACGGTAAGAATCAAACTCCATGGCAGGGGAAGAACTGCTGGAAACTCTGCTGAAAGTCCTAAGAGAACTCAATGGGAGGGATTTATCAAAACTGGAGCAGACGCCTATGGCAACCGATAAGCTTCTCTCTTCAATTTGTGCAGTTAAGCTTTGAAAATGAAAGGTGGTTGCCATGCACAACTGCTCCAAATTTTGTCTGCTCCAGTTTTGATGAATTCCTCTCAATGTATGTTGTAAGCTCATTAACGTATATTCATAACTGCAAGATCAGCTTTTGAATGACTAACCCTTTGCACAAATGCTAAACAATACATTGGTCTTTGTCTGTGCATAAATACAAATATACTTATGTCAATTTTGATGTGATTTAGTCACTTTTATGCATTCCAGTAAGTCTGGAATGCACCACTTTCACTGCATTTAGCATGCATTGATTTCTTTTTTGTTCACAGCAGCAGCAAAAATAGTTTACTTTTTCTTCCTTAACCTGAATTGCAGAGCACTGCAACATGATGTGAAGTATTGTGCTATGCTTAAATTAGGGATTCACCATTACCAATACTAGTCTTGGTATTGATAATGATTATTTGGGTAAGCACTCGTACTCACCCAAACGCTCCAATACTTACCACTGATACCGGAACTTCCGTTCAGAAGGAGATTTCCTCTGACTGGCAGTGCTGGGAGGGAACATGGAGCCGGCTTCCTGATTGCCCGGGAAGCCAGCTCCATGCTGTTTGGCCAAGTCGATTCCGATTGCCAGGGAAGCCTTCTCCATGCTAGCGGAAGTAACGGTATCGGTACTCGGTATGGGCAAGTACCAAAAGATAAATATCTGTACTCGTACTCGATACCAAAAAAACGGTATCGGTGCATCCCTAGTTTAAATGCATCATGTTCCATTTTTATCCAGTGCACATCAATACAGGTCAATGGTGTGAATTGGACTTGTGGGAGACAATGGATTTCAGCTTGTCATTGTTTTGGGTTTGCAATGAGCAATGCAGCATGAATGGGTTCTGAATGCAATTTAGTCAGTTATAAAACACAAAGTTGTTATATGCATGCCTACTTCACTGTAATTTTTTACTATAAATGAGAGGCCATAAGCACATAGTGACACTCATTTCCATAATGTTTCAATTTATTACGGTCATGCAGGCTTAATTATAAAAAATGTATCATAGTCCCACTTATTTGGCTTTATTTAAGTTATTTAACTTTGAGTGATTCTTTAGCATCATAGTCAGAAGTGAGAGGCTACCTGAGGTGTGAGAGCTGGGGGCCTGTGTTGCTCACGGTCTTAACAGGGCCATATAACAAAGTCCTGTTGTTGCTTATATCCCTCCTAAGTACATGGCTCTGTTATTTGACACTGCTATGCCCTCTAAAAGGATTTAGAAAGTAATGTATGGGTTCAGGGAGGAGAAAGAGAAGCAACTGTACAACTTCAGGTGACTTCTCAAGCTGAACAGCCAGTCTCAGACAAAGTAAATCAAGCAAATTTTCCACAAGTAAGCCTGCAAAATGTTATTTATAACCGAATTTAGTCTCATGAGTAGAAAAAAGAAAAAAAAAAACGAGCAGAGAGAGCCGCATACACTAGTGTAAGATGCTTGTCAGACATTTTTTGCACACAATAGAAGAGAAAATCTTTCTGCTAACCTTTGGAGTGTAGTAAAGGAGAAGCTTGCTAGGTATGTCTGCTAATTCAGAGTCTCCTGATTTCCAAGGATTCAAGCTATTAGGACCTAAAAAATAGTTAGGAAACAGAAAAATAAGAATATCGATAATCTTCTTGGTGCATGCAATTGTTTTGGCTTCATATATAATACTAAGGGTCATTTTAACAAACCAAGCTGATCGCGCTTACCAGCCAAATACAGTGCCTTCACTTGTGCAGTTTGCAATACATCATGAAATATGAGAACTGATCCAAGCTGACCCTCAAGTGATGTTGGAGTCCCCCATTCACTATCCTGAGTGCCTGCAGAAATGACTTTTGTGCAATCACTTTTTCCTTGAGAGGCACTCCTGGAGGGTGAGGACAAAATACTACCCAATGATGACCGACTTGTGTTACTTGGTGGGGAAATGGGTGGGTCTGGGATCTGAGAAGGGGGTGGTGTGTTGGTCTTTTGGCCAGCAGATCCAATGCAGCAAAATGTAAATGGCTGAAAGACAAAGGAAGACAGAATTAAGAAGTTAACAAGGTTTTAAAATTATATTACAAAGTTAAAACCATAAATACATTTTTCTGAAGATGATCCAATGTTGCAATATTCTGAAGGACAATATACAGTCCTGGCCAAAACTTTTGAGAATGACACAAATATTAAATTACACAAAGTCTGCTGCTTCAGTTTGTATGATGGTAATTTGCATATGCTCCAGAATGTTATGAAGAGTGATCAGATCAATTGCAAATAATGACAAAGTCCCTCTTTACCAGCCCTGCCACAAAAGGACCAGCTGACATCATGTCAGTGATTCTCTCCTTAACACAGGTGTCAGTGTTGACGAGCACATGCCTGGAGACCACTCTGTCATGCTGATTGAGTTAGAATAACTCAATATACTGGAAGCTTTCAAGGAGGCTGGTGCTTGAAATCATTGTTCTTCCACTGTTAACCATGGTTACCTGCAAGGAAACGCGTGCAGTCATCATTGCTTTGCACAAAAAGGGATTCACAGGCAAGGATATTGCTGCTATGAAGATTGCACCTAAATGAACCATTTATCAAGAACTTCAAGGAGAGAGGTTCAATTGTTTTGAAGAAGGCTTCAGGGTGCCCAAGAAAGTCCAGCAAGTACCAGGACCGCCTCCTATAGTTGATTCAGCTGTGGGATCGGGGCACCACCAATGCAGAGCTTGCTCAGGAATGGCAGCAGGCAGGTGTGAGTGCATCTGCACGCACAGTGAGGCGAAGACTTATGGAGGATGGCCTGGTGTCCAGAAGGGCAGCAAATAAGCCACTTCCCTCCAGGAAAAACATCAGGGACAGACTGATATTCTGCAAAAGGTACAGGGATTGGACTGCTGAGGACTGAGATAAAGTCATTTTCTCTGATGAATCCCCTTTCCGATTGTTTGGGCCATCCGGAAAATACCTTGTCCGGAGAAGAAAAGGTGAGCACTACGATCAGTCCTGTGTCATGCCAACAGTAAAGCATCCTGAGACCATTCATGTGTGGGGTTGCTTCTCAGCCAATGGAGTGGGCTCACTCACAATTTTGCCTAAGAACACAGCCATGAATAAAGAATGGTACAAAAACATCCTCCAAGAGCAACTTCTCCCAACCATTCAAGAACAGTTTGGTGATGAACAATGCCTTTTCCAGCATGATGGAGCACCTTGCCATAAGGCCAAAGTGATAACTAAGTGGCTTGGGGAACAAAACATCGAAATTTTGGGTCCATGGCCAGGAAACTCCCCAGACCTTAATCCCATTGAGAACTTGTGGTCAATCCTCAAGAGGCGGGTGAACAAAAACCCCCAACAAATTCTGACAAACTCCAAGCATTGATTATGCAATAAAGGGCTGCCATCAGTCAGGATGTGGCTCAGAAGTTGACTGACAGCATGTCAGGGCGAATTGCAGATGTCTTGAATAAGATGGGTCAACACTGCAATTATTGACTCTTTGCATAAACCTAATGCAATTGTCAATAAAAGCCTTTGACACTAATGAAATGCTTGTAATTATACTTCAGTATACCATAGTAACATCCGGCAAGAAGATCTTAAAACACTGAAGCATCATACTTTGTGAAAATTAATATTTGTGTCATTCTCAAAACTTTTGGCCAGGACTGTACTTCATAGCACATATTATGTAAGCATTTGTATAGTTAAACAGCAACATTCAGCAACACAATAACTACCACATAATAAAAGATGTTTGATTTAGAGATCATTTACTATAATCAACCTTGTTACTGGCACAATGATTAATAGCTGCCAAGATTTTAACACTAAGTTATTGCAGACCTATATACCATAGATAAATATGCTATCTCATTGTCCTGGGGAGCTAACTCCTCTCTTCAAAGCTGGCCATACATGCCTTGAATATCAGCCAATTCCTATTGAATAGGCCGAAATCGAGCTGTGGGTAGGCCCAGTTTCAACTAGGATTCCACACAGCTCAAAAAACAGTGGGTGCATACACTCCAGTTTCAGTCACTGTTTGGGTATTCAGAGTGGACTTAATACAATAGCCACCAGAGGAGTTTTTTCTATCCACGCTGTTCAGTGTTGATGTTGAAATAACTCTACCTACTGTATGTATGACTAGCTTTAGTCTTGCCAAAATCCTCAGTAGTGCCAGTTACCATAAATAAACATACCACTTGTAGTAGATTCCTTATTCCATCGTTTTTGGGTCTCCTGGTACTTTTTTTAATTTTGTGAATTAAAGGCTTAATTAGATTATTCTTTTAATGATTTGACCATTTGACTATGGATGACTATGGTGAGCAGACCTGCCGGCTTGACAAAAGTTGATAACTCAAATCAACGTTTGTCAACCCAGAGAACCCACCTGTGAATCTGCTAAATATTCTAAATAGTGTATTCCCAGCTTTAGGAAGCCTGTAAAGAAGCCGGGATGAAGATTTTCAGTCGAACAATTACTGCAGTCAATCAGCATGCGCTGGCTGTCAAAGTACAATAGCTGCAGCTGGGAATTAGTACATCCACAGTGTTTAGTGTGCTATCTTACTAGCATGCACAAGGGGGGCTCCATAGGACCTTGCAAGATATCAGGGCCAGTGCTCAGGGGACCAGCTGATTCTGCAGGAAGCCAAAACCTTTAACCCCTTAGTGACACAGCTTCAGAAATTTTTTTAGTTCCCGGGGACCGGAGCAATTTTGGCATTTTTGCTATGTGTTTGTTTAACCATCATTTCCATCTTCCTCATTAATTGCACCTACACATATTATATACTGGGGGGTTTTAAGGACAACATGGGCTTTCATTTGTTGGGGTATATGCATATATAAATTCTTATTTTTTTAATTTAAAAAAATAATGTAACAAAAAACAATTTTTTTTACATTTTTGGCAATAATAATGTGTACATAATTAGTGTAGCTAACAGAAAGTAATTCATACTGCATTCTTTTATTTGTCCTGATTTATAGGACATATCATATCTGAGAATTCAGTTTAGTTTGGTTATAGATCACAAAATACAAGGAGTGAAATACAGTTTTAGTGTGGAACAATTTTAGAATGTGGTACGTTTGTCTACTAGCTTTAAATGCTGTCTTGGCACTATATTTTCTTATCATTGTTTTATCAAACATAGTTTTTTTTAGCTATATTTACCTTTTTTTTTTTTCTTTTTTTTATTTTTAAACATTTCAAAAACTTTTAAAAACAGTTTAAAACTTTTTTAAAACTAGGGGGCACTAAGGGGTTATTATTTATTTATTTATATGGGCTTTGGATACTAAGTAATCTGACGAGATACTGTATTCTCATCAAAGATACTTTGTATCTTTTTTTTTATATATACTTAACCAGCTTGCAGCTCCACAACACAGTGAGCTGGAAGCCAGATCAGTGACTGTCTCAGCTCTGTGATCACAGTGCAGGGACCCCTAATTTGCTGTTGAGGGTCAGCCTCGGACCCCGAGGGACCCGGAAACAGCATTAACTCAATGAGCGCTGATTGTACCACATGATGGGATTATTCAGTCACCGGTCTTTAAGGAACTGAGCGACTGCGACTGAATAATGTCGTTTGGCAAAGGGGTTAAATATTAAAGAACAGCATCCATTTAAGTGATTGAATCAGCATTTGAAATAGCTTAAAAACCTTTAATAATAACTTGAAATGAAATTTGTGCTTTGCAGATCCACTAGCTCACAGCTGTGTAGTTCCAGCACACTTGGGATCCAGTTTCGTATGAGAGACGTGACTAAATGCAACTTGAGAGCAGGGAGAGTGGCCATTGGTTTCTCAAATGGTTATTCTACTTTTCCAAAAGATTCCTTTGAAGCTTTACTTACTTCACCCATAGAAGGAAACTTGAGAGGGGGTGAGATTTTCAGTTGTCCATTAACATATATGTGGACATTGCTTTGTCCAAAGAATCCCAAAGACCTTTTTCCTGGTGCATGGACAATTGTGACACTGTGCTGTTGACAGAAAACACAAAACACATTAAAATGTACAAAAGACAGTGCAAAGGAGCAAAGTGGAATATTCATCAGAGCTAATCAGAATTCATCCTGACCCGAGTAAATCTGGTTTCTAAGGGTTGCAGCATTTTGCAATTAACATTTTATGACTTGCATTGTTTAATAAATAAAACCCAATAATATCTAAAGTTACTGAAAATACACTTTACTTTATGTGCATTCTTTCTCTGCAATACTTTAGAATTTTTAAATAGGGGCAGCCTGCTCTGCAAAACCTACACATTACCAATTATTAGGTTCATGTTAGTAAGAAACTGAACTCAAAAATTATTTTTGCAATAATCTTATAATTTGACAACCCTCTAATGAATATATTTCTAGGTGGCTCTTTACCTGTTATATATAATCTTTGTGTAAGCACCAACAAGAATGAATTGCAAGAATGAATTGAAGTTGAAGTTGAAGAGGCTGTCATGGAGGGGGGTCAGGCTGAGGAGGGGGGGTTGGAGCAGCGGGATCCAGAGGTGGGTAGCTGGGTTACTGTTAGAAGGCGGGGGAGGGGGAAGAGTGCTAGAGAGGTCAGCCCTGATCTGATTCACCCCAATAAATTTGCCAAGTTGCAGGATGTTGGGGACATCAGTTCAGGGGGGACACTGCTGGAGCACGACTCATCCTATATCCGCAGGGGGAGTGAGTGCTCCGGCGAGGACGGGAGACCTAGAATGAGATCCTAATAGGTTGGACTTGATGGACTAATGTCTTTATTCAACCTCAAATACTATGTAATACTATGAAGTAATGCTAATAATATCTAAAGGCTCCTGTATACAAGCCTAAACAAGTCCCAAGTTCAGTGATGTTCTTAATAGTAGGACATAGTTCTACATTAACATTTTGGTTAATCCATTTTATTTTGAGTTCATTCGTCAGTGTTTACCTAAAAATAATCTAAGACATTCAAACTTTTCTTAGCCTTACATATTTATATCATTGTATTAAATATAGAGACATATAGAATAGATACTAAAGGGAGCTCTCCAAGGCTCTGTCCGATTATGTTGTCCTTTATTTAACATCTGTTGAGGTGAGATATAAGCCCCATAGGAAATGTGATCATAATGCGTCAACTGACTCATAGGCTTGTATTATAAGAAGAAGCAGTCAAGAGCATCTATCGTGTAACACAATGTGGGATGCAGAATCTGTATACATAAACATAAACAGCAAATATGGCTGCCTCATACCATGTATGATACAGTAATTCCCAATTATACATAGAAACAAGGTATCTAAAATGCCTTGATAAGATTATTTACATCAAGCTAATCACTTCTACTTGACATGTATAACAAAAATAACACTCTGAAAAGACTACACATTTTATTTAAACTAATCAATATAATGTAGGCAGACTATATCGCCCTGTATCTATATCTCTCTTCCTGCATTGGTATGTAGTAAACAGCACTTACCCACAAAGAATCACAGAAGCAGACCTCGTGTAATTGAACAGTTGTGTATTCTTTTTTGGTGCATACCGCAACGACCAGGAATCCAGAGGATGTGATAAAGGCTTCAAACCCCATACCACTGCTGGTAAAGAAGCTGCAATCAAAGAAATCAGTCAATGACAGAGAGACTAGCTGTAAAGAAAAATCATATAAGATGTATTCACACATCAAATTCACACACCATATCCACTGCACTTGCTTCATAAACTTTAACTTACTTTAGTTTTTATAGCACAGCACAATATATTTAGCTAAAATGTACGTAAAAGCCCCCTTTTTTAGTTGTAATAGAGAGGGGAGCATTATACCTTCTGCCACATTGTTATTCATGTCTCTATCCCCCCTCTATTTGTCCTAGTAACCACTGTCCCGAAACAGAAAGTAAGAGAAGATCCTACATTTTGGAGTTGTCATGTAAGAGGAAATCTTCCAATACAGACATATGTTCCAGTGACAGTTGTCTGAGATGGGAATCTTCCTAACAGGACGCAGCAACAAAAAATAAACCATATAGGGATTTTAATCCTTTCCAATTTATTCCAGAAATACAAAAATCTGAGTAGTTTGAGATAAAATAATAAAGGCAGTATAAGTGCAGTTGTCTATTAAATGTTACATTTATAGGTTGATTTATATACATCTGAAGATTTACTAGGCATATTAAGGGCATAGTTCCCTTAGAATTTTTCTACTTGTTTTAAAGGGTCAGTACACCCAAAACTGATATTTCAACATTCGTGACACCTCTGCATTTGACTTCCCAGGTCTACACACCTGCTGTGGTCATTGTGAGGGGTTTGCGCTTTACCTTTTGTTTTTGTAATTTATTTTATATAATGAAAAAATCTCAAACTGCAGAAGACAAAAGGTCAATGCAAACGCTTTGGCCTCGTTCACATGGGACGATCTGGCACTCCTGTGGCAGGAACCTACCGATTCCCGCACCAGGAATGCCAGGTGTCACCGTTCAGATGCGGCTGCTGTACCCGTTCAAGTAAAAGACCAGGTGACAGCGGCCACATCTGTAAGCGGCAGCCCGCATGTAATCTATATGATATTATTCCATGTGGTTTGGAATAGATCACTGTCACTGGATGCCGGTCTTTTACTTGAACGGGTACAGCAGCCGCATCTGAACGGGGTCACCTGGAATTCCTGCATTCCCATAGGTTTGCGAATGGGGCCTTAAAACTTGCAGTCAGAAACAATGGCATGGAAATTTTATATTTGAAGTATCCAAGATATAAAAGAAATCAGGGGGTCAACTCAGCCCTTTAGGCTCCACATATATCTAAAATATCACTTTTGGTGGACTGACGCACTGAGTCAAGAATAATAAAAGATTTATTTGATCATTCTGTAAAATGCATTAACAAATTCAGGGTCTTGCCACAGTGTTCTTTAATTCCATCCACTTCCAACCATACGTTACACCATGATTTAGCACAGACAAGTATGTCCATATTTGTTTTCTATGTTCCACTAATATTTTATATTGTAAATGCTAAATGCACTCCACATCTTAGAATATATTCTGACAATTCTCTCATAAGCAAGGCCATGTTCACCTAATCTGTCACAGTCTGGTTTGTTTCTGTTTCTAATGACTGTTTCTTTATAAAAAGTAAGTAAGAATGACAATGTGTAACTTTCCCAAGGAAAATAATCCAAAGTTTAGACAGACTTCATGTTTAGATTGCCAAGATACACTACCTATATAGCTGTTTTCTTTTCATCCCACTGCCAGAAATTCCAATAGTGGACTGGTCTTGGTCAAGACAAAACCAGGCAGTAAACGTGAATGCAGAGCCAGGCCATTTCTGGATGGTGGGTACAGCGATTCCTGATGAACTATGGGACAAGTTAAAGTACTGCAAGGCACTCTCAAATCCCTGCTTACGGCCAATGGTGAGCATGGCTCGAGTCACAGGAACAACATAAGGGTGGTTATTCTTGAGTTCATCTGTCCTCAGCATAGCAATCAGATGAAAGAGTTCTCCAGAGCTCATTGACTGGCTGCCCAATGACCCCAAAAGGCTGATTAGGTTTTCTGCACAGATTCGGTGCAAGGAATAGTGAGCAGTGAGTGTCCCGATAATCCGAATGACCATGCTGGCATTGACGCACATAGTCCGACTCTGCTTATTTATACAGCAGATCCTCTTTAACCAGTCAGAGATGAAGTTCTGTAGATCATGAGACACAATTTCTGGAAGCCACTGTACAAGGAGAAGCAAGGGCTGGACATTACTGATGCCGTAAATCCCAACAGAAGTATGCTCACCTTCCACAGCCTGAAAATGAAGAAAGAACAAATGCATGAGCAGAAAGGATGATCAATAAATGCATACAGTAGTTACATAGTTACATAGTTACATAGTATTTGAGGTTGAATAAAGACATTAGTCCATCAAGTCCAACCTATTAGGATCTCATTCTAGGAGTACCCGTACCCCTGTATATTACGGTCCCTTAAGAAATCGTCCAAAAGTTTCTTGAACAATTCCACATTATTTGCTGAAATCACCGCCTGTGGCAGTGAGTTCCAGACCCTAACTGATCTTACTGTGAAGAACCCCCTTCGCCCCTTGTGCTGGAATTTTTTTTCCATCAATTTTAGGTGATGGCCTCTAGTTTTTGTAACGGAGTTAATTTTAAACAGTTTATCGCTAATGTTGCTACCACCATTAAACATTTTGTACATGGAAATCATATCCCCCCTTAATCTCCTCACCTCTAATGTGAACATGTTTAAATTTAGTAGCCTCGTCTCGTAGCTCTGGTCCTCCATACCCCTAATTAGTTTGGTTGCCCTTCGCTGGACTTTTTCCAACTCAAGGACATCTTTTCTTAGTACTGGTGACCAGAACTGGACCGCGTACTCCAGATGAGGTCGAACCAATGATCTATAAAGTGGCAAAATTATAGACTTGTCCCTGCAATACATCCCCTTTTTAATACAGGACAAGACCCTGCTAGCTTTGTTTACAGCAGCCTGGCACTGCAAACTACCTTTCAGTTTGTGGTCTACAATGACCCCCAAATCCTTCTCCATTTCTGACTTCCCCAGCGGCATACCCATAATTGTATAACCCATTTGTTTATTTTTAATTCCAAAGTGCATTACTTTGCATTTATCGACATTAAACCTCATCTGCCACATTAATGCCCACTCCCCTATTTTATCCAGGTCCTCCTGTAATGTTATAGTGTCTAAGTACGTGTCTATTACCCTCCCTATTTTGGTGTCATCCGCAAACACGGAAATATCGCTGTTAACACCCTCCCCGATGTCATTAATAAATAAGTTGAACAATATGGGACCCAGCACAGAACCCTGAGGCACACCGCTCATTACACTAGCCCAGTCTGAAAAGGTGCCATTTACAGATACCCTCTGGACACGTTCCCGTAGCCAGTTCTCTATCCACGTACACACCACCTCATCTATGCCCATAGCCCTCAGCTTGTGTAGCAAGCGTTTGTGTGGTACCGTATCAAAAGCCTTTGAGAAATCCAGATATACCACATCCACCGGCTTACCTCCGTCCATATCTCTACTTACACCTAACAATCTGTCTCAAGAAGACATGGAGGATGAAGAAGAAAGAAAGCATATACATCTATTAACTTGTGTTACAAGCTGCCTCTTATACAAAGTGCAGTATTTATTTGCTTAAGCCAAATGGAATTCTTCAATTGCTACTTTTTATTTAAAGTTAAACCCTAAGAAAACAGCCAAATACACAGGTGGAGTACCTATATGAAAGTTGTTTTAGCTACCAATAGATTTGTATTCCTGTCAATCCAGTCCTGAGATTTAGCAGGG